TCTTTCTTGCCATCAGTTATTCGTGATTGGAACAACTTGCCTGTTATAATACGAAACAGCCCTACAATATCTTCATTTAAAACTTTCTTAAACAAGGACAGAAAATATACACCAACATACTTTTATACAGGTAGTCGTAAACTGCAGGTCCTTTACACTCGGCTTCGAACGAACTGCAGCGCATTAAATCACCACCTGTTTTTGAAAAACATTTCTCTTTACCCCTTTGTTGTAATTGTGGGCAAATTGAAACTACCCAACATTTCTTTTTCGAGTGCTGTGCATACGATGCCGTCCGCAGAACACTCCTCCTTAACGTGCATGACTTCAGCATAAACCTTCATAAACTTCTCTATGGTGACCCATCTCTTACATACCAGGACAACGTTATTATATTTACAAATGTACAAAATTATATAGAAAAAACGAAAAGATTTACTTAGATCCATTCTAATTAAGACTATAATCCTCTCTCACCCCTTTTCTTCTCTTTTCCACTATTTTGTTTTCTTCTTTTATATATATTCTTACATTTTAGACATCTACTTGTAGTTAATCTATTCTATAAAAGTTTATATATAAATATATATTTTTATGTGTGTATAATTAATACTTATTCCCTTTCTAGTATATACTAATTATAAACTTATTTAAGACAAACCATATAGTTCGCCAAAGGAGTAGAATTCTATAAGACTTGTCTTTCATTCTCATCCTTTTCCATTGTGTAAAAATGTTTTGTTTGTTATATATTTGTATGTACATTATATATACTTTCGGGAATAAATATGTTTAAACTAAATTATGCCTGTAGTCGGACATATAACAATTTAATTTAAAAATAATTTGATAAAACAATCCCAGAATCATTTAGAATAATAAAAATCGTTGGAAAATAATCAATGCATATAAATTGTAAATATGTGTATGACAACTCACCCTCTAAACAAAACTTAATAGACTTAATCAAAACAAGCGTCTGCTTCTTTACATTGAAAAAAAAAAGAAATATCATGTAACTGGTGTCGGCCTGGTGAATTTTCCTATTCTTTGTTCTATAGTAAATCAGTCACATTGGAGGCTTAATTCTGGATTCCGCTGTTCTTGATGAATCATATACTGTCTTCAACTTTAAACATCAACACTATCTTAGTCAAATGAGGCCCAAAATATAATAGGTTAGCCATCTACTTTTTTCAGAAATCTTCATTCTGTTGTAACACAGTTTAAATTCACCACTTTAAAAACTCCTGACTGCTGGTGGTGGTACATCTTTAATCCTTCCGCCAACAAATGAGTTCCTTGAGAATACACAAAAAAACAACGTTTTAACTCATCATATAACACACAAAAACTACACACATGCAATAAAGCAATAAATCCACTTTAATTATGACCAATCTAACTAGAGATGACTTAAATTGGGCCACTTCAAAATTTTAAAGACTACAATGGGTTGGGTCTAATTCCGTACCGGGTTGAGACCAACTATGTTTTTGGTGTAATTCCCCAGAGCTAATCCGTAACGTACCGGAAAACGGTGTTTAGCTAGGTTTTCGAATAGTACTGCTCCAATCCTGTATTGAGTTAAATCCTCCTTTTTTAGTCTCACTCTCGAAAAGTTGCATGACCATGATTTGCAAACCAAATTTAAGAGGCAAACCTATTGCAAAAATAATACCTTGACCACAGCAGATTTAGTATAGAAAAAAATATGTATGTACTACTGCAGAACCTCATTTTTCTTACGGTTTAGTACTGCGAAACCTCATTTTTCGTACGGTATGAACAGATATTAACCGATACTAACTGCGCAACCGCAGAATGATTGCTTGAGAACTTCCTTTTCCGGTTCGCATTTCATAGCAAAATGGTAATAAATAAATCGTACGATAAATCGTTGTGAATCATTTAGTTAAGACGATGTATAGTTAGTGCCTTGGTAACCAAATGAATATGTTGTTATTATCTATTATATGCATAGCTGTAAACCTTCTCTTATTAGCACAGAATGTTATTTGGACAATTATACCAAAAATACATTGAGCAGTGTTTATTCGCAGTCTTGTGTGAAAGGTGTTGAGTGCTTTTAATTGTGAAATTCAGCGCATTTATGCAATAATTTGTAGGCAATATCTTGGAATAGTTGCCGATCTTTCTCCTTGTATTTTAAATCCACGGGTTGGCTTGACTCGTTACCCCCAATCATTTTCACAGTGCTAGTTTGATTTACTTTTTCTTAATTATGCAAGCCTTTTATGTTAAGGTTTTTTCCAGGATTTTGGGAACATGACCCATGCCCATGGAATTGGGAAATCAACGTTGATTTGTTAAAAATTGGGGAAAAAAGCATGACTTTAATTTTGCAGTGATTAAATGAATGCAAAGAATCAGTCTAGGATGGCATCTTCAAACATTTAAGCACCGTAACATTGAAGAAACAAAGATTTTAGAATTTGTTATTGAATATTTAAATTTTTATTTTGTAACTTTCAATTGGGAATTTTTTTCCTGTGGATTGGGAAAATAATATACTATTTTCAATTGGGAATATGGCCGAATATCGGCTTTGAAATAAGCCAAAAAAAATCCCTGAAGAGTAATCAGTATCCACTAACTTGGATGCCCAATTTCAGTCGATACATGATGCAAATATATGCCCGGCATGATACAATTTGAATTAATAAAACTTCATCCTTCACTTTCATAACAAATATTTAGCTGTTTTCATGTGACTTGAATAGGTGAACAGGGCCGGCAAAATCAATTGTCCGTATTGCCCAGGTTGTCCCACAGCCTGTACGGACAAGTGAACATTTTCAAGAATAAACTATGTAAATATCATACGGACAAGTTAAAAAATGCTACAAGTAAGTCAAAATCAGATTTGCCAGCCCTGGGTGAAATGGCTTTCTTGTGACATGCTCTCAGTGATTTTTCACCTCATATAACAGAGGCCTTTAAAATCCCTCTTCCCATTAAACCAATTTTCTATTTAATACTGGACACCTTTAAATTTTAGGCCGACATTGAAGCCATTAAGAAGAAGAGAACCTTCAGGAAGTATGCCTTCAGAGGTGTTGACCTCGATCAACTGCTTGATATGACCAGGTAAATATTATCATTATCTAGGTTTCATGTGAGATTAGTAGTTGATCACTTGTTGAGTGAGTTATTGGTAATGACTGGTTATTAATGTTGTTGGGTTTTTTATATCGCAACAATACAGAAGAGGCTATATGGCTACTTAAAGCTTTTAAAGATGGAGGGAGACCTTGGGAGCCCTTCCTTGCATTATTTCAGGCACAGGCATGCACCTGAGTAGAACCCAGTGTTTTTTTTCCTTTATGTAACTACTACCCTAAAAGGGTACTGTTCCCAATAGAAAATAGACATTAAAATTCCCAATTTCCAATGTTTAAATTCCCAAAATGGCTGTTCAAAATTCCCACAAGGCCAAGTGATTTCTCTGAAATCATTTAAATCCAGACAGTGGAAGCTGTTGGCTATCTTTATTCATGATGACTTTATCTGATTTGTAGCTGAAATAATGCATAAAAAAAATCCCAATTTAAGTCAAATAACGCATTTTTTTCCCAATCAGTCTGGTACTGGCACCATTCCCAAAGTAGAGGAAAACAACGCTGGAACCACAGACATTGTGGCTGGATAGCGTCTTCACATGAAAGAATCCAAAGTCCCTGGTGGGATTCAAACTCACAGTGGTGAGGGGAAAGTGGCTAGAAGTCTCTGACTTTGCCCTCTCATCAAAGTTGGTTAGGTTTATCTACTGCTGAGATATGACCAAAAGAAATGTGTTAAAATGAGCATCAAATTCAAATAAACACAAATTTTCTGCCAAACCTCTTTGAAAGGATATAGGCATTTACCATTTGAAAATACATCAAATTGATGTATGTAAATGTGAGCTTTGATAGAAATGTAAAGTTTGAGACATATTATATATATGATTAATTTATGTTTAATTTAGAAATTTGGTATAAGAAAGCATGTTAAGGCATGCTCTTTAATCAACATAATGTACATTTCATAAATCTTACTTTGATAAATCTAAATTTATGGGTAACAGACTTCCCGAAAGTTGAAAAAAACTGTCAGACATTCGGTCTGACAAACCATGAAAATCTGACGGAACGAAAAGAAATCTGTCGGACCAAATAAAATTGATCAAAATCAAAGATTAACTTGTGTTTGTATTTCTAAGACACTTTTTGTTTTTAATTTTTTCGCAGTAAAAATCGGCACATTCCTTACAGCGCATTTTCATCTCCTCCCTATCATACACCAACAATTCACTGTCTTGCTTCTATTTTTTATTAAATTTTGTCTCAGGTCTATTTTTTTATCCTTTTACTGCTGTTCTGCGCGTTCCTCTGACGTAGATTTTTGATTTTTCCCAGGTTTGGCACCTTTAGCGACGCCATTTTGTATACATGCGGCTTGGATAAAAGCCGGACAGTCGGACCGATCCGGAATAAAAACTGGTCAGACCTGATCAAAATTTATCGGACATGTCCGTCGGACCGACATATTTCGGGAAGTCTGGGTAATTAAGACAGGTTTAAGGCTTATATAAATTAAGCAATGCCAGTAGTGAATTATTCATTCTAATTTTGACAAGATTTGAAGTAATATTTTTAATTTTAGTGAGCAGTTGACAGAATTATTCACATGTCGTGTAAGACGTCGTTTCCAACGTGGATTGAAAAGGAAGCCATTGGCTCTTATCAAAAGATTGAGAAAGGCAAAGAAAGAGGCACCCCCACTTGAGAAACCAGAGGTTTGTATTCATATTGAAACACCAGATGTTGAAAAATTTCTGTAAAAAAGGGCAAATCAGTGTTTTATTCTGTATATTTGTCAATAATAATTATGTAGAATACAATGATGATACTCACTCAGCTCACTCTTAGGTCCTGTTGTACAGGGCAATTGCTGATTTTTATATTCTGAAGTATTCTGTTTAATATATAGGAATAATATGTTCTAAAATGCCAGTAGTTGAAAGGTTACTAGTGTTAAATCACATAACAATTTAAATCTTTTCAAGTGATAAATTCTAACTGACCTGATAACAGATTTAGAAACTATCCAAAAGGTTGGTGGTTCTGGTAGTTTCTTGCAATGGGGTCCACCAGTAAAAGTACACAGCAGAACATCGGAACAGGTTTTAGTGCAACTTGAAATTTTGCACACACGAAAAATAGTCATTGAAACTAAGTTTCGTAATGTTGATATATGAACTTAATTCTATTAAAGCTTTTGAAGGGAAAAAAAGATTAGCCTTTAGGCCAGTTTGCATTTCTAGTTTAATATTTAAAAAAAAAAAATAGCATAAAGATGGGTTTGAAATACTTGGAAATGTGGCACATTTGATATTGTGCCTGTGAAATATATATAACTATGGGAAAATAATATTGTGCAAAAAGGAATGGGTTTAATTTGAATTAACCCTGGTACAATGATGAAAATTACTCAGCTCACTCATAGCACTCCTAGGGAGTATATGCTGATTGTTTCTTTCTGAGTTTTATACCTGGACTTGTGGAGTAAATCATATTTGAAAGTTTAGTTGATATTTATTAAATTTTTTACCCCTGTATTTCTTGAAATGGTATCAATTGTTCATCAGGGGTAATTAATGAAAACATTTAAAATTCTAAGAACTTCACAATGTTTCCTGTGATGCATATATGCTGTCAAGGAAAAAAGAAAGTCCTCAAATTTATCCTTTATTTGTGTCATTAACAAAAATCTATCTGCGTTTCATATGCTTTCATTCTAATGTCGAAGTATTGCGAAATATATGTAGACAACTGGTTCATTGGATTTTATATAGAAGATTAATGACTAAAATGATGTTGTAGATAGATAAATGATGAAACTTCTCAGCTCACTCAGATGTCTCCCAAACAGGGGAGATAATGCTGATAGATATTTCTGAAGATTATCTGCCATTTGATAAATAAAAAAATCAATTGAAGATATGTTTAGTTCTACTGAGGTCCAAAATCCTATAAATGTTAAAATTGAAAATCTTACACGGATTAATCAGCAAAGGATTAAAGAGAAATATTCTCAGAAAATTGAATTTCAGTATGATAAATAGCCTAATTTGAGTTTAAAACACTTCATTTTTAGGTAACTGCACAATGCAAGTTATAATTCTGAAAGAAAAATAGAAGATAAAACATGTTTAGACAGGTCATGTCCAAAAAACTCAGAGCATGCTGTCATTTTTAGCACAAATGTTGTTTCTTGAAAACTGATTAGTATTATTCTTAAGTGGTTCATATTTAAACCCCCAAAAAAGTTAATTGATGTTATATTATGATAAACATAATATTTATATAATGTGCAACTCTACCAGAGTTGTGTTTTGATAATTGAATGAGTTTTGTATGTTGTGTTATTTTTAGGTCGTCAAAACACATTTGAGAAACATGGTCATTGTTCCAGAAATGATCGGCAGCATTGTAGGTGTCTACAATGGAAAGACTTTTAATCAGGTGGAAATCAAGGTATGAATTAGTTTTTGAACAATTTGAAAAAGTATATGAATGCTGTATTAATAAGACTGTAAACTTGTACTGCTGACAGTGATGACAGATGATCCCAGCTCTCTGAAAGTCTTCAAGGAAGACCATGAAGGAGTGTTCTTGTCTGAGTGGCAGTTTAATCAATGGTTGTTTATTCTACGTAAATCTTGTAGAAATTTGTTAGGACAATAATAGAAAGCACGATGATGACAGTATCATGTACCACCAGCAGAATGTAAACTGTTGATTCATGTTTTCACCCATCTTTGTCTGAGTGCTCTGCTCTAGTATACAACTTAAAAAGTTTTGATATAATACCATTCTTAATATATGGCTTCTGTCTAAAAACTCTCTTTCTTATGCAAACTAACATTCATGATTCTTGATGTGAGCATGAATTCATTAATCAGTTACTGTCTAGCTGACTTATGGAAGGTTGATGGATCATAGGTGCCTATGTTTTCTTTTGTAATATATGGATGCTCATAGATCTTCACTAAGTAGCAATACACGTTCTTCCTGTGCTCGCAAAAAAAGTGATACAAATTGAATTGTACAAGCTTGCAATATATAAAAGATGCTTGTTATCGTAATAACCCATACACATTAAACTGTATATAGACTTGATACAGACCATGGTGATTCTATTTCTAGTGATTTTACTCCTAACAAAAATGCTTTACTGTTGCCACTTCATTATTATGGGATTAATACAAGAAACTACACAATGATGACAACCCATGGTACCACGCTGAACATACATGAATGATATCTTACTCACCGAATCATTTTATCTGAGTGTAGGTCCAAAAAGAATTATATATAGTGAATTTTATATAAAAAAAACAAACAAAAAAAAAGCTTGTGATAAATATGATTAACAATGATGACAACCTGTGTAGCACACTTAACAAGCATGAACACCATCTTTGCGCAAATATTTTGCACATGTCTTCACCACTGTCAGACTGTATTACATGCAAGATTCTTGTCACCATCTTTAAAGTCAATCCCGCTCTTGTAACTTTTGTTACTTGATAACCTAAGTCTTTATCTCAGTCAGATGGTGTGTCATGAGTAAAATTGTGTCTAAGAATTTAAGCCTAAGGTCAAATTGTGTTTGTTCTCTTTGGTTTCCTGATGTTTTGTCAAAATAATTGGCAGCTATCTACACCAGGGTCACACAGTGTGTCTCGCCTTTCACTTCGGTGATAAAAATGTTGCATCAGGGGAGATGGGCATACATGTCCTATGGACACATTTCTAGTTTTTTGGGGGGGGGGGAAGCTGATAATTTAAAGCTAATGTTAATACACAATGATGACAACCCATGTACCACGCTGAACCTACATGGATGATATCTTACTCACCGAATCATTTTGTCTGAGTGTTTAATATTGGGATAGTTAATGTTAAATGTCAGTACCGTCCTGTTTTCTATGGAAATATTCTTCAATATTTATTATATTATACAAGAGCATATTAAATCTACACAGCAATGATGAGAATATAACCCAGCTCTCTGAAAGTCTTCAAGGAAGACCCTGAAGGAGTGTTATATCTGAATAGTGATTTACTTCTACCCTCATTAAACATTTCCACCATCTTTATGTCAGGCAGTTGGTTCTTTACTGTGACATGTTATAAAGAATGTTTCAAAATCCTGAATGACGTTAGTAGATATTTTTATACACAATGATGACAACCCATGTACCACGCTGAACCTACACGGATGATATCTTACTCACCGAATCATTTTGTCTGAGTGTTTAAGACAGTAAATGATTATGTGTTTTGCATGTGAATATTTGTAGGAATGTTTTAATGTACTGTTACACAGCAATGATGAGAATATAACCCAGCTCTCTGAATGTCTTCATGGAAGACCCTGAAGGAGTGTTATATCTGAGAAGTAATTAACTATTCTTGTTTTCTGGTTGTAACTTGGCATAATCTTTATGTCAGAGCAGTGATGTTTTGTGAGTTCTGAATAATTTTTCCTTTGCAAATGTTTAACATGGGTTGTCAATTTATTTTGAAAGTTGTATGCATTTCTCTTGTTTAAACAAATTGTTCATGTTTTATTCAAAAACAGTTTTCTGTCTAGGACCTTGGGATGTAAAGAAAATAATCACTTTACTGTGACATGTTATGTATATAAAGAAAACTTAAAAATCCTGAATGGTGTTGGTAGATTATTCTGGACACAATGATGACAACCCATGTACCACGCTGAACCTACATGGATGATATCTTACTCACCGAATCATTTTGTCTGAGTGTTTAATACAGTAACAGATTATGCTTAACTTAAACACTTGACGTTTTGTATGTGAATATTTGTAATGAATGTTTTAATGTATTGTTACACAGCAATGATGAGAATATAACCCAGCTCTCTGAATGTCTTCATGGGAGACCCTGAAGGAGTGTTATATCTGAGAAGTGATTTTAATGATTATGTTGTAAATTCACAAGATCTTTTCTTTCGAATTTTTGCAACAAATATTCAGTCTATGTGTTTCATTTCAAAGTTTTGGATGTATTTTAGGGTCCAAGAAGTATTGAGTGGTATTCCTCTGTTCAATGTGGTTATTGTCATTTAACACCAAAGTTGTTTGGGGGGGGGTTGCTAGGCAAGTAATTTTGAAAAACATATAAAGCTGATGTTTATACTATTACACAATGATGACAACCCATGTACCACGCTGAACCTAATGGATGATATCTTACTCACCGAATCATTTTGTCTGAGTGTACATAGTTGAAGACAAAATCCTAACAGTATGTTTGCTCAAAGATAGTAAAAATAATATATTCAGTTTATAATTGTAGCAAAATACAGGCTACATCCCCCCAAGATAATTTCTTAAAATCAAGAAGTTTACCTAATAAAACGTTAACCTGTTAATAATTTTGTTCAACATGTTAATTTATCTCACTAATGATTGCATTTAAACATTAAAATGATGAAAACCAATGTTGTTTGAATCAGCATTGATAATAACAATTTGACAGAATTTGTGTGCTTATTAAACACTTGTTTTACATTTGAGCAGTTGAAACCATATTAATTATACTACTTTTATAAAAACTTAATGTGAATTCTCCCAGTTTTACAATAGAATTTGTGCTATAAATGATGAGAATATAACCCAGCTCTCTGAAAGTCTTCATGGAAGACACTGAAGGAGTGTTATATCTGAGTAGTAATTTTAATGCTTGTTGTGACTTCACAACATCTATTCTTTCAAATTTTCCTACAAATGTTCCATCTGTGTTTCATTGGAAATTTTGGATGTATTTTGAGGTGGAAGAATTGTTTCTAAGTGGTAATGTCCTTATCAATGTGCTTATTTTCATTCAACACAGAAGTTTCTTTGACTGTAAAGATACCCTTCTTACTTTGTAGCGAGTAATTTTAAAAGTCTTATCAGTCTGATGTCAATACACAATGATGACAACCCATGTACCACGCTGAACCTACACGGATGATATCTTACTCACCGAATCATTTTGTCTGAGTGTTTAATACAGTAACAGATTATGCTTAATTTAAACACTTGACGTTTTGTATGTGAATATTTGTATGAATGTTTTAATGTATTGTTACACAGCAATGATGAGAATATAACCCAGCTCTCTGAATGTCTTCATGGAAGATCCTGAAGGAGTGTTATATCTGAGAAGTGATTTTAATGATTAAGTTGTTACTTCACAAGATTTTTCTTTCGAATTTTTGCTTCTAATGTTTAATCATCTGTGTGTTTCCTTTGACAGTTTTGGCTGTATTTTGTGGTGGAAGAAGTGTTTTCGAGTGATTTAAATGTGCTTATTGTCATTTAAGACGATAGTTTCTTTGACTATTAAGATACCCTTCTAAACTAATAGCGAGTAATTTTCAAAATCATAAAAGTCTGATGTCAATACACAATGATGACAACCCATGTACCACGCTGAACCTACATGGATGATATCTTACTCACCGAATCATTTTGTCTGAGTGTACATAGTTGAAGACCAAATCTTAACAGTATGTTTGCTCAAAGATAGTAAAAATAATATATTCAGTTTATAATTGTAGCAAAATACAGGCTACATCCCCCCAAGATAATTTCTTAAAATCAAGAAGTTTACCTAATAAAACGTTAACCTGTTAATAATTTTGTTCAACATGTTAATTTATCTCACTAATGATTGCATTTAAACATTAAAATGATGAAAACCAATGTTGTTTGAATCAGCATTGATAATAACAATTTGACAGAATTTGTGTGCTAATTAAACACTTGTTTACGATTGAGCAGTTGAAACCATATTAATTATACTACTTTTATAAAACTTAATGTGAATTCTCCCAGTATTACAATAGAATTTGTACTATAAATGATGAGAATATAACCCAGCTCTCTGAAAGTCTTCAAGGAAGACCCTGAAGGAGTGTTATATCTGAGTAGTAATTTTAATGCTTGTTGTGACTTTACAACATCTATTCTTTCAAATTTTCCTGCAAATGTTCCATCTGTGTTTCATTGACAATTTTGGATGTATTTTCCGGTGGCAGAATTGTTTCTAAGTGGTAATGTCCTTATCATTGTGCTTGTCATTCAACAATTTCTTTGACTGTAAAGATACCCTTCTTAAAGTCTGATGTTAATACACAATGATGACAACCCATGTACCACGCTGAACCTACACGGATGATATCTTACTCACCGAATCATTTTGTCTGAGTGTTTAATACAGTAAAGGATTATGCTTAACTTAAACACTTTGACGTTTTGTATGTGAATATTTGTACGAATGTTTTAATGTATTGTTACACAGTAACCAGCTCTCTGAAAGTCTTCATGGATGACCCTGAAGGAGTGTTATATCTGAGAAATGATTTTAATAATTATGTTTAATCTTTGTGTTTCATTGAAAGTTTTGGATGTATTTTGCAGTGGAAGCATTGTTTCCAAGTGTTATTCCTTTTCAATATACTTCTTGTCAAAGAAGTTTCTTTGACTATCTAAACTTACAGCAAGTAATTTTAAAAATCATAAAAGTCTGATGTTTATACACAATGATGACAACCCATGTACTACGCTGAACCTGTACACGGATGATATCTTACTCACCGAATCATTTTATCTGAGTGTACATACATAGTTATACTAAACGATGAAAATATAAACCAGCTCTCTGAATATCTCAATGGGAGGTCCTGAAAGTGTTCTATCATACTGTTAATTCTTTATCATAAAAATTGAGGCACAATGGGGAATAATTGACAGTTCCCACTCATAAACTTGCTAAGGTCACACATATATTTAGCAGTGTAAGGATTAAGATACTCTAATTGAATCTAAAGGAAAGATATTACACAGCAATGATGAGAATATAACCCAGCTCTCTGAAAGTCTCCATGGGAGACCCTGAAGGAGTGTTATATCTGAGAAGTGATATTAAGATTTAATTTGAACTTGCCGAGGCTGTGTTTGCATTTGATATTGTGTGTGTTGACTTGAACACTACAGAATTACATGCGTCTATTTCCTTATTATGACTTCAAATATTTCATTATGTATTATGTCACTACACAATGATGACAACCCATGTACCACGCTGAACCTACATGGATGATATCTTACTCACCGAATCATTTTATCTGAGTGTAGTGATAAATGTACACATTGAAGTGCTAAATGTATTTCTGTTTGAGATATTTTATTCATCATAAGTGTCTCGGTGTCTTAAAATATATCATGCTGGTAATGTAAGAATCATACTTTTAAAATGCATTTAGCTTTATCTGTTGTCTGCAGTTTACAAATATTTTGTTTTATTTACAAAAGGAATAAATCTAAAATGCCTGTTATGAAAGAAATATGTTTGTTTATTTCCTTAAAGGCAATGGTATATGTACCAAAAATTGATGAACAGTTAAAATGTACCCATATTACAGCATACTTTGTTTCAGAATTTGTTTTGCTAAATGGCAGAAACATTCTATGTTGTAATTTCTTTTTGAAAGTGGACCATTATGATTAGATCATAAGATATGAAAACAACATAGTTTTGCCGATTTAAATCTTGTTGAAAAAAAGTTTCACATTAGCTATGCATGTAGTTAGTTTACAACAGTTAAGGCGACATTATTGTTTACCATGTATTTTATTATCCTTACATTATAACAGTGGGAACAGTGCTGTGAAACCAAGTTGTGGTCAGTTTTATTTGCCATTTTCTGTGGTCAATTTTATTTGCCATTTACTATCAGTGTGTTGTTCTATTTTCAGCCCGAGATGATTGGCCATTATTTGGGAGAGTTCAGCATCACATACAAACCTGTGAAGCACGGTCGACCTGGTATTGGTGCCACTCACTCTTCAAGATTTATTCCACTGAAATAGACTATTTATCTTGTATGAGTGTGTAAATAAAGAGAAAAACACATGTTCAGTGTCATTTATGTTTTCGACTTTATAATAAACACATCTCTAGTGCCTTTCTTGCCTGAATATTTAAAGCAATTTGGCTAACAGATTGAAAGGTTTTTCCTTTTGGAGTATACTGGAATGAGTGAGCTAACAACTATTTTTGAACCCAAATTATACTACTGCAGTAGGTTGAAGTCTACCACCTCGGCTCAATATGTAGAGCATCAGATATACAATAGCTGGTTCCAGTTTTTGGCAAGGCGAAATTTTCTCTGTCCCCTATCTTGCATATTGAGTCAAATGGTCATCTCACTGCTGCTGGTGATTTGAAGATACATCGGTAATAACTAGAGGGGGAAAAGTTTGTTTGATGGGTCTGATCAACCCTTGAGGGTTGACGAAAAATGTGTGAAACCTACCTTCCTACTGAAAAGTGGTATCAAACTAGCAAAGTTGTCATGGCACCGAGGTCTCTTTTTTTTTTTTTTTTTTCAGACAGGATTAAGGACATTTTAGTTAAATCCTTAAAATTTAGACAGCACAATGTATATTTTTCATGGAGGAAATATTCTTAACTGGTCTCTTCATATTGAATTTATTTTAAAAGATTGGGGGAAATTAAAAAAAAAAATTGCAGGGATCTGCTGCTAATATTCTGAAAACCTGACCAACATTGATGATTTGGTCAAGTTACCTGGATTGACTAGTAGATACACATGGAACAGTTTTGCTCTAAAATGAAAAATGAGAGAACAGAGAGGGCATTAAAAATGATTGAATTACGAAACTACATACCCTAGGGCACTGAAGGGTATCCCTTTTAGGATCTTTATACATGGGAACTTAGATGTAATTGAAAAAGTGCCATTATTCTCCCAAAAATTACCAATGCAACATAATATTTGCTAAGTCATTGGGTAAGTCTTATGGAAAATATCAAAAGCCCAAGAGAATGTAGGAGTTGCCTTATTGTGTCCCTATATATATACATGTATATAAAAGTTTTACATGAGTAAAAGAGCCACTGTATAAAGGAAAACATTTTTGAGGATAAACATGAACACAGGGTTTTCAGACAACACCCTAACATGTTGATATAGCAAGTCCAGGGAATCTCTACCTATAAAGAACGAATAAATCCACAACATGCCGATAAACATTTCTGTAGTTTCATGACAAGGTCAACAATTTTTGGGCTATGTGTGACAGAGTTGAAAATTGCAAAAATTTTACTTACTAAGTCAAGGGCAATAACTATAAATACTAATTAAATATGAAAGTAAACCCCAAGGTGTACAACTTCACATCCTGATCAACATTTCTGTCAAGTTTCAAGACTCCAGGTCAAATACATTTTGGGTTGTTAAAAATAGTAAATTTTTAGTCAAGGGCAATAACTATGAATACTGAATAAATCCACAAGCAAAGCCCCAGGTGCACATACTGATAAATTTATTTTAAGTTTGTTTATTAGGTCAAGCACATTTAGAAGTACATGTGACACATAATGAGAACACGTGGACAGGGGTAAATCTAAATGCCCCCATCCCCTTCCCTAGAATGGGGGCATAAACCAGTGCATGAACAGTAGTGGTAAATGTGAGATACTGTCTAGCACCAGCTTAAACAGAATTTAACATGAATTGAGTTTAGAAACATCTGCAGATGTTTCCATACAGCCCTATTCATCATGAAACCTTCAACGCGACACATTTGAGCCATTCCATGTCAAGCGTCAAATGATCCCCCATGTACAAAAGTGCACGTGCCCTTAATGAGAAAACGAAGGCTTGGAATTTTGAAAAGGGATCGGAGGTGAAATGTGACACCTGAATGTTGCAGACAATATGTCCAAATTACAAAAGCAGGCAGTGATTATTTAGTATTACTGGAACCAAACTTGCTAAATTCTGGGACAAAATATAACTAGACAAGCCACTACTGAATATCTAACAGTCTGATGTTGGCTTCTAATTGACTGCAGATCAATCATTAAGCATAGTTTTGATACAACTGTTTACAAAAAAAGCATTGATAATTTTTTTTATCATCATGATGGAAAGGTTCTGTTAAATTATAATGCCAGTAGGCTTATATTTCCATTATTTACTAGTATACTGTTTACTACAGACAGAAATATACAGGTCAACAAGACAAAATAGCCATGTGAAAGTCTTGTGGAATAGACAGCGCGACACTTATCTCCAACTGCATTTTTTGTCATATTATGTCGCAGCTTAATTGTAACTTTGCATTTATGTACATGTAATTTCCTTGATTTTAACCTGTACTTGTATCATAGTTTGGAGACCTTTCTGTTGAAAATGTGTCAGGGTTAAATCGTACATATACATGCACAGTGCGTTAACTGGAGTGCGGGTATTAGTTACCCGCACTCCAGAGCATGCCCATTGATTGGCTCATTTTTGCTGGGGTTTACATATTTTGACGGCAGAGAAAGGGAAAGCGACAGAAATGTCATATTCAGATGTTCGTTCATTGGTTCATTTTTGCCGGGGTTTCATATTGTGACAACAGGGAACGTGCTTTTATGTTTGACTATGATACAAAAGAGAAAGAACACCAAAACACTCGGCAATCTGATTAATACTCGGGGGCTACGCCCCCTCGTACAAATCAGATAGCCTCGTGTTTCGGTGCTCTTTCTATTACTTAACTTTAACATGACCTCCCATTTGCATGACCTTACAAATGACTCAAAATGTAGAAGCACCAATGTTATTAGAATTAAGTGCCTTCAAGTTTTCAAGAAATCTGAAGTTTAAATTTTTAGAAAGTTCTCATTAAACCTAGCTTTCCTGGAGCTATTTAATTAGGTAAACTGACTTCTAGGTCTACTCTATCATGGTCTACCACTGAATCTAATTCAATGGTTCTGTTAATGTATAACATCATCTGCCTTTTTTTCAGACTTCAATAACACCTTAACAGTGAGACAGAAACTCAAGTAAAAATACATTTTATATATCATTTATTAAAAACAAATTCAGGACATAAAAAAAAACATTTTACCAAAGTCCAAGAAATGCACAGCTAACAATGTTGTTTTGGAAATATAATTATGTCATTTGACCTTATAATTTCAATCCACTTACATAGAAAGGTGATTCTATTCTATAAGCTTTAATAAAAAAAAGTATATTTAAATAATTAACATCCTTTCTCACAGCAAATACTGTATGCTCATAACGTAAGTTAGTAACTTAAACTGTATACTATAACTATACAGCACATTGAATTCACATCATTGTTTATTTTTTGTAGAGACTATTGTCGGAAATAGGACTGTGTTTTATTTTGATACTTGATCTTTTTCTGTAACTGTAAGATTCCATAGGTAAGAGCTTCAGCTGACGGTGGACAACCTGTAAACACACACAAACATATACAAACACATATATAAATATGGTTAGCACCTGGTCCCTTAATTTACCATTCTATAATTCTACTGCTAAAAGGTTAAAATGGCTGTGGCTCTCCGCATTCAAAGGCTGATTAGATAACAGTAGATTATTTATGTATGAATCTGTTTACTAAAAAAGGAAGCTCAGCACCAAGTCTCTTGGTCTTCAAATAATGTGGTCTGAATACATAGATCTGTGACATGTCTGATAAGTGAATACCACAAGTATTTCACCACAACATATTTGTTAACAAAAGTGCACATGTCAATGTTTGTGGTTTATACATCCTTCATCTGTAAATGATCAATATCATCTATTTTGTACTGCTTATGTGCTTAGCTTTAGGATATTTCAGTATTATTTAGGTTAAATATGACCAATTTAATTTATGTAATTTAGTGGTGGTCCATCTAAAAATGGCACAGGACAAGTTTGATGATGACCCATCCATTAGTTCAAAACAAGAAGTTTAAAATCTTCATTTCTACTTAAAGATTTGATAACTTCAAAAATGAGCCAAATGGTTTAGTACATATATCAGCAATCAGACATTATACCACACAGCATCATTTAAGTATCTTGCTTTTCTCAAATTTTAGTATTATTAACAAGAAAACACTTCTTGCTTATCTTGAATGCGAATAATCTTACACGTATGTCTTAATATTTAAGGAATTGATAAAAGTTACCTGGTACATATATATCGACAGGTATAACTCTATCACAGCCTCTCAAAACAGAGTACGAATAATGATAGTACCCTCCACCATTAGCACAGCTTCCCATTGAGATTACCCATTTAGGTGACAATAATTGATCATATATCTAAAACAACAAAAATAACATTATAAGTGTATCTACAACAACAAAAATAACATTATAACTGTATCTACATCAACAAAAATAACATTATAACTGTATCTACATCAACAAAAAATAACATTATAACTGTATCTACATCAAAAAATAACATTATAACTGTATCTACAACAACAAATAACAACATTTTATCACATAAACCGCAGCGCAGGAGTGTAATAAAGCCATTTAATAAAAACGATATTACACTAGAGTAATAACACTTTGATGTGATGTCATTTGCGCTACATAAAAAACATACCATTAAAGCGTGCTAATGCTAGCTTTACACTGTAGGTGCGTCATTAAAATATACTCATTTTAACAGTTTACTGTTCTTATTTTATATATGTGATAAATAGAATATTTTATTTGTGTAGATTTAATACTTAATTTATTGAACTTGTTGAATAAAACAATATTATGCTTGCCATAGGCTCGCATAATATGATTTTATTCAACTCGTTCAATAAATATAGTATTAAACTACACTCATTCAATACCCTCAATATAACTGCAGCTCATCAAAATTCTATAATGTATACATTTTGTTTATCATTATTAGATAGGGTGGTCATAAAGATATCATCATATATATTTCCGTGTATATGAAGTAGCTTCTTACACAGATGTCACAGGAAGAAATACATAAAATGATCCAGAGGAGAATTACTGTTCAAATTGAGACATGGTGATATTTTATCTATAGTTTCTGAATTATTACAGTAAATTGGAAATATTTTTTATCTTTAAACAATTTTAAAGGAATCTTACTCTTCTTAAAGCAGGTGCCATTTTGTTTGTAACTGTCCCAGCAACAATAATACAATCTGATTGACGTGGAGTGGCTCGAAATACGACACCAAGACGATCCATGTCGTATCGTGGTGCAGCAAAATGCATCATCTCTACAGCACAGCATGCCAAACCAAATGACAAGGGCCATAATGATCCCTGAAAAATAAAACAAACATGATAATTTGACATTTTATAACTACAACAACGGGCTTGAATTATTAACTTCAACAAAATCGTAATTTCTACAATACAGAAGTAGATTACAGAGTCACATTCAATCATAGAATAAAACATTTTATGACCGTGTAATGTGTAAACAGGAATATTTTAAATCTAGAAATCATGTGTGTTCTTTTGTTCAAAGTATGAATCAAATCTGTAAATAAATAACAAAGTTATGATAATTCAAGCAAATTTCAATAATTTGCCTAAGACAGTCAATGTCAAATAAAGATCAAGGTCTATTATATTATAAATCATTCATCATAAGAGTTTTGTCATGGGTTTCTTTTGTCCAAGTATAAATCTAATCCATAAATAAATAACAGTTATCACCTGTTGTAGCAAAACTAACTTATTAGATCTTAAGTGACAAGGTCAGATTAAGGTCAAGGTCAAGATCAAGTTCAATTAAATCTTCTGTTATGTCTTGTCCCAAGAATGGTTGTGCACAACATTCATTAATTACAAAGTAATAGGCAATTATAGCAAAAAAAATACACAATAATTTGACCTTTGTTGTCAAGGTCATTGATGAGTGAATGTTGTTATCAATTTAATCTACTTAAAGGTCTTGTCTAAGGGATTGTTCTGTCCAGGTATGAAGACAATCCATTTATAAATCATAAAGATACAGCAAATATCAAGCAAAATCAATTCATTTGACCGTCAAGGTCATTGGTGAGTGATCAATTTGGTCCACTTGAAGGTCTACTTGAAGGTCTTACAATGAAAAACTAAAATATTTTAAAGCTTGTGTTGTTGAATCTACCATCATTAAATTTGTGAAAATACACATAAGATGCTAATCAATACAAAATAGTGAAGACTTGCTTAGTAACATCCGAAATGTACATTGTAATGTAAATTTTCTGTCCCTGGATCAGTTAAACATGAAAAATGAAACAAAATTACCTTTCTTGACCAATTTACAAGGTCATCAACTTTGGCAAGAGCATAATCTATTTTGTTGTCTTTTATTGTAGCTGGAAATGGTGAGTATTTCTTCATTTTAACATCTGGAGGAGACATAACACTTCTGTTTGGTATCACCCTGAATTCAAGAACAATAAAATTTGCATTAAATACATTTTGTTTCACACTATACAATTTAAAGTGATTGGTGCAAAAATTGCCTTATATATTTGTTACTTTAACAATTATCTTTGAAGAATACACTGCCATTTTAATACTAATTATATGATGCCACTGATGCATATCTTATGCATATTTATGAGTATACAAATTTAACAATTTCCCCTAATGAAAGTAAGTATTCATTAACAAGCTTACAAAAAACTAGAAATGTGTCTGAAAGACCCTAGTGCCCCCATTATGTATGTTTTTGCAATAAAAGAGCTTTTTAAGTAAGAGACCCTATGCCTGTTGATAAAACAGTTTTTGCCATATTCACATTGACTGCTTACCTTTGACCCCTTAGTGTGACCTTGACCTAGAAGCTTGGGGGTTATGTTTTGTGCATGATACACTGTATATCATGCTACACACATGTCAAAGTTATTTCATAAACCAATGGTCAGATGATTGACAAGAGTTACAAATGTATGGGCCAGACAAAATTTTCTATCTGCTGACCTTTGACCTCTAAATGTGACCGTGACCTTGAAGCTTGATCATAACACACAGTCTCATAATGCTACAAATTTTGTGCCAAGTTATTTCAAATCCCTTGATGCATGACAAACTTATAGGCCGGAAAGATTTTTGGTCACATGATGAAGTGTAGCACATTAATTATTCCCCACTGCCATTATTATGTGGGGTGGGGGGATAAAAACATCTGTAACATCATAATAATGCTTTACAAAGTCACAATATTAATTTTATAATATTTCTGGCAATGACATAGTTGCAGGAAGTAATCTTGTGAAAATTTACATGAGGCTTTTTTCTTCTTTATTGTTTTCCTTCCGTTTGTTAACAACATTTAGGTCACGAGACTGGGTACCAATAACAGCTGTTGGTTTCCGTGACAACTGGCTCAGCATTGGCTGCATGCGCCCACATTGCTGCCAAACTGGAAATAAAAATCAATAATTTCATGAACAGATCCTAAAATACACTTAATTGGCCTCAATTGGCTCATATAAGCTTGAAACCAGAAATAGAGCTATCATTGACCTATCATTGATACAGTGCAATGCATTATGCCGATGGTGACAAATTTCGACGATACACCTCAATAAAATATTAAATAGAGGATATTGAATGATTGTAGATTTAATACTCATGAAATTGAACAGTATTAAGCGCATATATGATTTTATATATGATTTTATTCAACTCATTCAATAAATTTAGTATTGAATGTACATAAATATAATATTCTATTTATCGCATATCAAAAATAAGAACTGTTTACAGTTAAAAAAATAAGAACTGTTTACAGTTAAAATCTGTTAAAATCTGTCATTTTTCATTCATGTGCCTATAATGTAACACTAACATTAGCGCATTTTTAAGTTTAACACTATGTTTGTATATACACTTAGCAAAAAAAGAAACATTTTGTGTGTACTCATCAAGCGCGATAAGCAAGTCTACCTATTTTTAGGTGCTAGGGTTATGGACATTGCACAGCATTTTGGCTGCCCTAGGCAAACAATTCATAATCTTAGTACACGGCTTTGTAATACTGGATCGGTTTGTGATCATCCAAGATCTGCTGCACCTTGTGAGATGTCACTAAGGGACAACCACACCATTAGGCTAAATCACCTTTGAAACAGTGTTTTGCCTGCTACAGCGCCTGCTCAGTAGCTACGTGTCAGTGCCCAAACTATCCGAAATCACCTTATGCACTCCCACATTCCAATTTGTGCCTGCAGACCATATACTAGTCAGATACTGAGACCCCGCCATAGGGTCGCCAGGTTGTTCTGGGCACAGCCTCGCTTATTCTGGACACGACTGACGAGACCAATGGGGTTGGATTATTTTAAGCGACGAATCTAGAGTAGGTCATGCTGAAGGCAGGGTGCGTATCTATCATTGCCGAAATGTTTTGCACTATGTTGCATAGGGGAAAGGGAAAGGTTTGGTTGGGAAAGTGTGATGGTATTCGTAGGGATTATGGGGGATCGAAAGGCAGAGCTTGTAGTTGTGGGCGGCAACCTTACAGCACAGGGTTATGTGCATATTCTGGCAAAAACTCTTTTACCATTCATGCACGCTAATCGCTTTGGGTTAACTTTCCAGCAAGACCACACACTGCCCGTTTAACAGCCAATTTTCTAACTCAAAACCACCTTAATGTCTTGCCCTGGCCTGCTGTCTCCCCTGATATGAATCCCATTGAACATATCTGGGATGAACTTGGGCAAAGAGTGAGGACAAATCACCAGATAGACAACGTTTATGACCTCGCACTGGCACTGCATGTGGAATGGCGGACCCTGTCTAAAGTCTTAATCAGGCGTTATGTTCACTCCATGAGGAGGAGAATTTGATTGTGTATTGCCAGTTCCTTGGGCCATACAGTGATATGTTACTGAGTTGTTATTATAAACAATATATGTTAAATTCAAAGATTCAGAATCTCAAAAGTCTTCTTTACTACCGCCTTTCATTCCTGGATTTTTTTTATTTGGATCGCTAGGTCAGAATTTGTTAGTCACTAGTGTATAATTTGTTTTTTTCTGTTAGATTGACAAAAATGTGTGCAAAATCTCAAAGGAATAAAATGTAATGATTTCTAATCAGATTTATCTGGATACACCATTAAGAAATTGAAACATGCCCATCTATTTATTTTCTGAGTGTATTATAACTCAAACGATGTAATACCTGTTTTTATTAAATGGTTTTATTACAATTCTATGCCTTGATTTAAGTGATAATTATTATGTTCCATATGTAGTCTCTGATTAAATGAATGGACAAAGTAAGTTTAAAAATTATGGCATCCGAAATTATGTATATCCGATAATCATGAATTTTTAGAACACTATTGGAAAATAACATTCAGCATATACATGAATTGGCAATGATTATATAGAAGATAAACAGCTAACTTATATGTAATCGTCATATAAATTTAAAAATAGCTTTAAAATGGCGATATGAACGTTATGCAACCGAATCAGAGATGAATTTCTAAATTCTTACAAGGTCAGAGAATGAGAGATAATTAAGAACGGTGGAATGGCAAATGTGTAAAATTTTCTATATGGTATAAGTAAGAACGTATGTAATACTCAACATCGTTGAATAAAGATTGAAATTTTATTATAAACATAAAAAAGAATGCATTTTTACATATAAAACTTGAGTTTTACCTGTCCTAGCAGCCATTTTTGTTGTTGTTGTAGCGGGCTACCAAGTTGTTGTTGTTCTTAAGAAAGGTTTAATGCTGCTAAATATTTCCGTCTAAAACCTGAGATAATTATCTTCCACAAAAGGGAAACCTTGGAGGGAGTGAAATAAAAACAAAACATCGATAGGAAAAAAAAACGCTTTGCTGTACAATGTTAAAGATTAAGAACAAGGGTTCTGTAAATAGAACAGAACAGAACAAAACAAAACTAGAATAACATTCATGGAATGCAGCCGACATAAACAGGAAAAACATATGATTGGTGCACTTGACATTCTCTTTGTCATTACTTCATGAACCGCCCAATCAAGTCCTAGATTAAAATGTTAGCATCTTATACGTATATATTCCAAAATTGTCTTAGTCTGTCCATTTGAATTATCAGTTTAGTGGTTGTCATTGGAAAAAAATGAAAAACTTTGAGACAAAAATTCTACTACTTAGAACTGCTGTTTTTTTTTCAAAGCATCCCTAAAAAGTTTATCAGGTAATCTTTCATTTGATACCAAAATTATTAAAATCGATCAAGAAAAAAAAGAAGTAAGAAGGGTGTGCCGTGTTTTCCTTCAGTGTTGAAAGAGACGTTAAAATACACATTATATGTCTCTGAGTAGGGTAACAGAGCTGATGTTGCGCCTCTGCTCTAGAGTTTGACAATTAAGTTCACACTTTCCCTATTGATAAAACTTGTTCATTTCCCATTGTTTATTTTCAAATGTACACATTTTATCACCAGAGATTTATTTGTAATCCCTATGTGGAAGGTTGTGTCATCCCCATTTGGGAGCTAGAGCATAGAGGCAATATCAAATGCTAATTAAAGCGGTTAATCCCAGCCTAGAAAGACTAGCTACTACTATAATTCCTGAATAATAGATATGAGTTTTGAAGAAAGAAAGTATCTTAAAAAGAAACTTTATAAGCTTTTTCCATGACTGACATAATAATTGAATTAAAAGTAAGAGTGTGGTCAATGGTTGATCCCAAATAGCGTACTGAATCTGTTGACCATTACTTATCACATTTAGAACAGACTGAGATTAAAAGGGACTCCACTGAGGTTTTTTGACATGATGGGACTGAAAATATTTTTTCCAGGTTAATGTACCATTTGATGTAGGTTAAGACCACTAATCTTTGTGCAAAATTTCAGATCATTCGCGCATTTCGTTTTTCCAGAATAATTATTCAAATTGTAAAAAATAACAAAATGAAAAGCGTTTAAAAGCTTTTCACTCAAATCGGACTTAGAAAAGCATAAAAATACAATTTTCAATTAATTTCAAAGTATAATTCTTAACTGTCCTTGCATATATTTCTGTTGAAAGTGCCACAGCTCATTTATGTAAGAAATTCAAATCATTTAAACCTCAGTGGAGTCCCTTTAACATTTTGTTAAGGCCCAAAGAAAATAGATTCAATTTTTCCTTAATGCAAACAAGCACCTCAAAATTTGGTTCAGTGCTTAAAACAGATTCGATTTCAGCCTTAGTCCTATAAATATGACATTTCTTTGTTTGTTAGTTAGTTTGTTTCTTTCTTTCTTTCTTTCTTTCTTTCTTTCTTTCTTTCTTTCTTTCTTTCTTTCTTTCTTTCTACCATTTAACAGGCATAATACATCTAAATGTTTTTTTTATCATGCATACAGTCAGTTATCAATATCTTTCACATTTTGAAATAAGGATAAGTCCAAAGTTTTCCGAATCCAATGACAATTGACGTCATCGTCCTCTTTCTAGGTCAGTTGAAAACGAGGCAAAATTATACATGAATGATATCTAGGTCACCGATCATGCGCAATAGAGATTTAAAAAATGGCGGAAGCCGAAGAATTGAAGGTATGACAACATTAACAATATATAAGATTAATTGTATGAGAATGAACATTTGGCGTAAGAAATGATTTAATTCAAATTAGAAATGCCTGAATACTCCAGTTTCCTGAAAAAAATGTAAAGGTGATTGGTAGAACTTGTATGTTTGATTTTTGTCGCGTTTCAATATTTACAACGCGTCGAAGATATTTAAGACGCGTCTTAATTGTATTAAATGCGTAAATTTATAAAACTCATTAAACTGTTGGTTCGAACCGTCAATTTATTCATATTTATGTATCATTTGGCAGCATTATTAATTTGGAATTGAATTAAAATGGATTTGTTAGCTTTCAGATAAAGGATCCACAATGTCACTTGTTTCCGCGATGTTCTAAAATTATTTGAATTATAAGTAATAATTTGCATTAAAAGGACAAATTTATTTTAATTTCAAGTTCTTGCATACACAAACATGTAGTTAAACTATAAGTTTTTTCTGTAAATGAAGATTACTTTATAATTTTAATTCGTTTAAAATATTGAAATATAAGATAAGAGAAAAAAAGTTTTAAAAAATATGGTTTATCTTTTTCTATAAATGCAAATCAGAAATGTATAAAATGATATTTTTATGTGAACTATATTGTTTTTTATTAGTTTACAGTGATATTATTCTCATTTTTTGCTGTCAAGACTTGAAGTGGTGCTGAATTTGTGACATATAGCATAAGATTTGCTATTATAATGGTTATTTACCAAAAATTTGATAATGAAAAATGATTATGATATAACAACATATAATCTATATACTCAACCTACAAAAAGACTACCCGTAACTCCGCTCTTTTTAGAAACTAGTTTAAGTTAACCAGTGATTTTTATGCCAAATTTGGGGCCGAAATTAGGGTCCATTTCCCTCCTCAAAACGTTTATCCCCCCCTTCTTAGATTTATTTTATCAGAATAGTGAATAGAGAGATAGAACCAGATACTGTATTTTGAAAAAAAATGGTATTAGATTATAATTATTATGTCACAATTTTACTTAAAATGGACTATTTAATCCATTTCTGAATTATTTTTTTTCCTCTGATGCAATTTCCCCTCTTCATGGGCCCTGCCACCATTCCCTTAGAAGTGAAAAAAATCACTGAGTAAACAATATATCTAGAAAATTGCATTGGTCACTTTTCACTTTTGTCACAGGGTGAGAAATTGAAGACTGACCGGAACTCAAATCCTAGATAGACAGAATACCACTCCTCAATTTTACAGATTGAGCTAACCGACCACTTAAAAGTTACACATCAATTACTGTATATAGTGAACAGTTCAAAATTGTGACTTCCCCCGTTATTTTTAAATTCATCCCCTAATTTCTCAGGGTTACTGAACAATGTGAATTATACTCTTGAGCTACTGACAGTGTGAGCCCTGCATGCTTATAGTGCAAGTTTAAATAAATATTAATACATTATCTAAAACTAAAAGAGGGCACCTAAAACTTGAAAATTGAAAAAGCCATGGTTATTAATTTCCTATTTAAAAGTAAATGAAATTGTTAAAGCTGATTATATTGTGGAATTTTGATTTTTACATAACAAAATGTTAAAATACTGATTTTTTTTTCATTTCAATAAATTTAGAATATGGTAATGGTTTTGAAACTTTCAAATATATTAGGTAATAATAAAACCAAAATGAAACAAAGATAAGCATTTATATTGGCTTTCTTGAGTTTTCATAATTAAGCATGTTCTTTTTCAATTTCAAGCAAATGGTTTTAAGTTTCCGGAGAGCGGAACTTGTAGAATTGCTGGGCTTTGTGGGCATGAACAAAGTTGGTGTTAAAGCAACCTTACTACAGAGGGCAGTGACATTGATTAACTCATCAAGAGGGTGCTCTGTGCCAGTTCAAATAAAAATTAGAGAACTTTATAGGTAAATATTTTTATATCGATTATTCAGATCCCTGCTAGAAATATTAGTTCATATTTGCTTTCAGAAAATGGTGATGAGTTTCCGCGTATCTGAACTTCAGGTTTTGGCATCCTATGCCGGTTGGAGTAAATATGGAAGAAAAGTTGATCTTTTACAGCGAGCCCTCTATCAAATAGAGAGACAACTTTCTCCAAGAATACATCAAAAAATAAGAGAACTATATCGGTAAATACCTTTCAAGTGGCAAACTCTTCACAGAATTCTATTCTTATAAAAAAAAATTGTGTTTACTTTTCAAGATTTTATAGTGTGAGGAATATTGCTTCAACATGTTTTTTTTAAACATTATTCAAGGTTTTCTCTTCATAGAAATTAGGAAGATGTCCCTGCTTAGTATTTCTAATTTAGCTCTACTATTCTAAGAATAGATAGAGCTATTGAACTCACCCACTGGTATCAGTGTTGCTGTCACATTTTGGTCAAGTCTTTGCCTGCAAGTTGGGAATACGTTGAAACTTCACAAACTTGTTCTCTGTGATTTTAGACCATGATGGGCACAGGTCTGATTACTCCGAGTTAACTTTTTACAGTTATGCCCCTTTTCTTCCTGCCATTTATGAAGAATAGTTGAGCATGTTGTACGGCCAGCTCTTTTGGGAAATTGGACAAGTTTACTATTTTCTCAAAAGTGGGATGGTGTTACAACAACAAATAAAAAAGTACATACTTTGAACTAAATTCTGAGAACTAAATTCTGAAACAGGTGAATGATTTTTGCAAAACAGTAAGACCAAATTTATCCAGGCTTGATCTGCATTGATGATTGTTATTGAGTGGTCAGTGAAATTCTCAAGAAAATAAACAAAAAAGAGGAATTGATTTTTTTTTTCCACTTGGAAAACCATTCATAATTGACTTCAAAAATAAAAGGGAAAAGGCCCTAAATATACTCTTTACTGGAATTATCTACCTAATCATTGAAGTCTTAAATGTATAAATGTCGTTTGATATTTATTTGGAGTGGTACTATTATAAATCAAACTTTGGGAACATTTCTGTGCAAGAGTTTGTTTAGATCAAATAGGGTTATGAAATCATTTTTAGCAAAACATTTCATATCATTTACACTTTTTTTTATATGTCTGTTTACTACTGATTTTTCAATATTTTTGGAAGGTTAATGGCTTTATTTTAAGTTGATTTTTATTTTATAAATATGCAAATGCTTGAAACCTGGCATATCTGTGGTAATGATTATTTTGCAAATTTTGCTACATCGACAAAATTAATCTTTAAATTATATGCCATTTTATTGAATTGAAATGTTTTGCTATAGTTATTGTTAATAATACATTTGATTTATTTATTGTATTTTGTTTGGTTGAAAGCCAAATATTTCCTGCATTTATAAAATTATTTGTTATACAGACATCTTATATAGGTTTTCTGTTTTCCCTTGTACAGGCAGATTCACAATCCTTATGCTGTAGAGCCTCCAAGGTCACGTAATTTGCCAAGAGGTCAACAGCAGGTTTCAGATCCCAGGTAAAAAAAAAATACACATACTTTGTTTAAACTTTGACGTATGGAATTGATTTTGTCAAAAGTTTTGCTTTTAGCTTGATTTTTAAGCTTTATGTTTAAATATCTTTTTGCTGTATTTTTTGTATGTAATCTTAGCACTTATTACAAGCAGGAAAAAAAAGGTGAATTGAAAACACTTCCTTGCTAAAGTTGAGTTTTTTGTACTATTCGACTAGCTTATGTTAAACACCCATCTGGACAAAACTGGTTATTCTATATGCCACCAGAGCTTGACAGATGCAAGTCACCGTAACGGGTTAACAGGTTATACAATGGACGTTAAGAAAGCCCTCTTGGCCAATGGGTTAAGGTCACGTGCTTAGAGTGCTTGTTTTTTCACTACTATAAGGCATTATCTTTCTGTCACATTGACTGGGGCTAGTTCTTCCTCCATAAATTAACCTGAAAGTTCACTTGCTAATGAGCACATGAAATAGCCCTAAAATTCAGAGGAAATTTATTTATGATGTAATGTAACTGATCAATAGCCTGTTACAAATTTTATGAATGAAGTTTTCTCACTATGTAACATTGAAAATAATTTAAACTTGTAGTTTTATGTATTAATTCTTATTATTTGACCATAACATTAGTAATTTAAGAAAGTTCTTTACAAAAACTTGGAGTGAGATGGATTTAAATTATTTTCTTATTTTTATATATCATTTCTATAGACAATTAGAGCAACTGTAAGTAAAGTCCAATTTATTACTTATTATGGGAAATATTTGGAATTGAAAGTTGTCTTAGCACATTATCTATGATGGGTATTTGCTATGTTATAATATGCAAAAAAAAAAAATTTATGTATGAAATTTTTATTAAGTTGTTATCACACTTGTGAACATAAATTTAAAACCGAATTTTTTGTCACAACAATTTGACATTTTGTTTTCAGATACAGTGATAGGTAATAACTGTTAAAAAAACACGCAATAACTGTTTATAATATAAAAAAAACACACACAAAAAAACCACTTGCAAAAATTTGAAGTTTAATTAACATTGCAAATACTCTATGCAGCCTCACATATAGAATTATATTGTTTGTAGTTTAGATCCTGTGCTTTTTGTTTTAATTTTTTTGGTGCTAGTTCATCTTATTTTATTTTGGTGGTAGTTCATTTACAGTATGCATGATTCATCTGTTCAACATAAATACAGCTTTTGTAACTTTACCGCTTAACTCCCAACATTATATTACATCTACATACCACATATATCCCTGTTTGTCTCTTGTTTTTATCCTCTGTGAAATTTTCAGACACCGAGTTGCCTTTCCATCTTCCTCAGATATAGAATATTTTCACCAATTTGTCCACCTTCCCCCAGTCCTTCCTGGTATGTTTCTTATAGCACCTTCCCCCAGTCCTTCCTGGTATGTTTCTTATAGCACCTTCAGCCATGGACTGATCTCTTAGATATTTTTGGTATTTTGCGGCCACTCCTACTGGACCTCTTCTCATGGATAAGGTTTGATATCAAGTAGGTCAAGGTCCCTGAAAAATGAGATGAGCCGTGTCACGACAAAACCAACATAGTGGGTTTGCGACCAGCATGGATCCAGACCAGCTGCGCATCCACGCAGTCTGATCAGGATCCATGCTGTTTGTTATAAGTTTCTTTACTTGTTATAGGGTCTGTAAGCGAACAGCATGGATCCTGATCAGACTGCGCGGATGCGCAGGCTGGTCTGGATCCATGCTGGTCGCAAACACATTATGTTGGTTTTATCGTGACGCGGTTCAGATTCTCATTTCATTGTAGAAATGCCGTATGTTCACCTATATCAAAGCATCATCAGTAAACTTACATGTACATTTATATTATCAATACGCTTGTATTTGTCTGCCTATATATATACCTACATGACAAATGTCTCTGTTCTCAATCCACATATAAGCCGTAAATTCCTGACAGCAGTAATATTTTCAGTGTCATCAGCATAGAGCCAGACCAGCCTGCATATCTGTGTAGTGTGATAACTATCTGATTAATTCTTATTTAAAAAAAAAGGCTTATAGTATAAAAACCAGACTTCTTCAGCATCTTTTAACCAAAAGTTTTTATGATCTTTTCACTATTTGTCCATTGTATTGGAAAAATATGAAGCCACCCTGTTGTAACTACTGGGTATTATCCCCATTATAACGCTTACCTCAGTTTAACGCTCATGGGCCTTGGCTCTTAATTAATGCTTTTCTACTATAGACAACAGGAAAGTCTTACTGAAGTTCAATTGCATTTGAAATTGATTAACTAAGGGACACAAATAGTGCTTGAAGCTTTTACTACAAACTTTAATGGCTATGACTTTTACTTTTCTTTCAAAAATTTTCTCTTTCTATTAAACGTTATAAGAAATACTTTACAAAATAATATACTTTTAAGTTATTAAATTGTTTTAGAACACAAATCTATGGATATTCATTGATAGGAAAGTAAATAAGTCATAAGTATTGTATGTAGTGGAAGTGGATGGGGTAATGCAACAATTCTGCCATGAGCGTTTGACATTTATATCATTACCTTGTTATATAACGGTATTGAGACCTTGAACCCAACATGAGTGCTAATACAGGGTTGCAATGTATTGATAGAAGAACATGCTTTAACAAGCCCCGATGAGATGCAAAGAAATTGTGCCATTTTTTAGCTCGACTATTCGAAGAATATGAGAGCTATTGTAGTCGCCCCGGCGTCGGCGTCCGCGTCGGCGTCTGCGTTGGTTAAAGTTTTTTGTAAAGTCAAATATCTCAATTATTACTTGAGATATTCAATTGAAACTTACAATACTTATTTATAGTAACAAGGTACATCAGATTGACAAGTTGGATAACTCTGCCTACAATATTGACAGAATTATGCCCCTTTTTAACTTAGAAATTTTGGTTAAAGTTTTTTGTAAAGTCAAATATCTCAATTATTGCTTGAGATATTCAATTGAAACTTACAATACTTATTTATAGTAACAAGGTACATCAGATTGACAAGTTGGATAACTCTGCCTACAATATTGACAGAATAATGCCCCTTTTTAACTTAGAAATTTTAGTTAAAGTTTTTTGTAAAGTCAAATATCTCAATTATTGCTTGACATATTTTGGTTAAAGGTTAACGGTCTTCAAAGATATTTACTTGAAACTTTACACATGCACTTAGGGTCATAATTGGAGGGTCATAATTGTATGTCACTGACCAAGTTCCATAACTCTATCTTGCATTAAGGCTGATTCATATCCCCTTTTCTACTTAGTTTCTTGGTTAATATTTACATGCAAGTTTTAAATATCTCAATAACTATTAAAGATATTTATTTAAAACTTCACATATGCATTTAGGGTCATAATTGTAGGTCACTGACAAAGATCCATAATTCTATCTTGCATTTAGGCTGACTTTTCTCCCCTTTTTCAACTTAAAACATCTTAATAACAAGCCTTTGTACCTTTTCTGTCAAATTTATGTATTCATAGGTAATAAGTATTATTATACTCAATAAAAAACCCTTGTGACATTACCTTCCTAATAGTCAAGCCAATTCTGTATAATTAGACTCTCTCTAAGGCCTATAACATGAATTTATAAAAAAAAATTAGCCCTTTTGTGAACTTAAAAAATTTAACAATATCAAGGCTCTTTTACTATCAAGCACTTAGAATAGTCGAGCGTGCTGTCCTACAGACAGCTCTTGTTATTATTTTAAAATTAATATAACCATACAATTTAATAACGTTTCTTCTGTAATGTGTTTAATCAAAAAAGTAATTTCAATCAAAGTGATTTTATCTATTGTATTATCTCAGACTTTAAATTGGAACATTTCTCTCTGGAATACAAGCATCATTTTGTATGGCTTATTTCAGTGTGTTTGTCTGGTGTTGTAATTTATGTAATGATTGCTGTAGTTTTAAACGTTTATGTGTCTTTGCTGTGCAGAAATATACACTATTTAAATCAATGTAACTAATTGCTCATGTGTAAACATCTAACTGATTGTTTATTTGTAATGTAATAACTGATTGTTCATATGAAAACATGTAACTGATTTTTTCTTTTCTTCACAATTTAGTACACCATTTTAACCCGATGCCAGAGCTGCCTTCTCATCTGTACAATTTGACCAGGCTCTATTTGAGCCACGTCACGACAAAACCAACATAGTGCGTTTGCGACCAGCATGGATCCAGACCAGCCTGCCCATCCGCACAGTCTGATCAGGATGCATGCTGTTCGCTATTAGTTTCTCTACTTGTAATAGGGTTTGTAAGCGAACAGCATGGATTCTGATCAGACTGCGCGGATGCGCTGGCTGGTCTGGATCCATGCTGGTCGCAAACGCACTATGTTGGTTTGTCGTGACACAGCTCATTTATAGACTGACCAAATTCAAAATTTTATATTGATATTTTCACACTTCCTCTTTCACAAATTCCTAAAAGAAAGCTAAAAAATATTTTAGATCAGAGAATGTATTAATGAGATAGGTGTCATTTTTGAAATGCTATATAAGTTGACAATACCTGTTAAAGTAATGTACAATATACAGGTAATACTGTAACTGTTCAATGTTTGGAGGGGATATCATGTTAATACAAGTTGTAATTTTCTATCTGCTAATAGGGCAAGACGGTATGGTACAAGTAAAGTGACATCACAGCAACTACAGAACACACAATCAGGTAATATATATATGAACAGGTTGGGCACTTGTTTAGTGAAGTATAATTAATTGGTAATTAATAGGTTTATTTTGTTGAAGAGAGAAATGTTGATTTTTCATTGCTGGTATGGGTTTGTTAATAGGCAAGTTTTTGGGATAGAATTCTTCTTTACTTTCAAGTTCCATATTGAAAGCACATACAACAAAGACATCTCCATGAATAATTTGTAAACATCACATATTAGAAATCACAATTTTGGGGCTCTCCAAAGTTATAAAAATTCTTCCATGTGAACAGCATAGCTAGTTAGGATACTGACAACTTGTGTACTCAGTAAATTCTGTTGAAATAATGCATAAACATAAGTTTTAAATCCTATTAGTGTGACAATAAAAGTTTTTTCTCTATATCATCATCATCATCATTGTTGTTGTTACAGGTGCTGTAGATTTTTCAAAGAGAGGACTTGATAGTTTAAGTGCAGCCTCCACATTACCTGTACATCCAGATGTCAGATTTAGACCTCTACCTTTCTTTGATATCATGGGGGAACTCTTGAAACCTACTAGTCTAGGTAATTAGAAGCTTCTGTTAACTGAATAATGCTATAAATTTTGACAAATACCAATGTTTTGATAACTTTATTAAACATATAATTGATATAAGTGTGTGATTGCTCATACAGATTTAAGTGTATTTATATATACCTAGGTTCTTACTGGTCGATAATTTCACAAAGATGTCAACACTTGGCTGAAACAATGCAATTATAATTACTTCCTTTCATGTCAAGTTTGCTGTCACCTCAATAGTGTTAATAAGACTGGAAACCAAACAGGAAAAATATATTTACATGTTTACAAATTAATTATTTCTGAGAAATTTCTTTTAACCTATATAATTATAATTATATACCAAGAAATAATTTCAGTGAAACTGTTTGTGTTAGTCAATAATGATATTTTGTTTTTGTATCTGCAGCCCCAAAAGGACCATCGCGGTATCAGGAAACATATTTTGTATTTCATTTAACACCACAACAAGCACAAGATATTGCCATGTCTAGAGATGTTAGAGCTACAGCAAAGTGGGAATATACAGTACAAGTACAACTTAGGTACTGAAGTCTTGTCCATTATCTATTTCTTTAATCAAATCTGGTACAAGCAAAAAAATTTATAAAATTCAGAAAGTTATAAAAAAAACACGAGTCATACAATTATCATTGTTCTGCAACTATTATCAGTTGTTAGCCATATTCATAAAACACCTGTTAATGATAGGTGAATGCATGGACATTGGTTCTATCTGAAAGATGTCACAGGAATTACAATGCCTCTTAAACCTCCATCAAATAGCATTGTGAAAGATGTACAATTCATCAGTACAAGAAAGAAAAACATAAAACATGTCAAAATGTACTTTGTTTCAGATTTTGTTTTTTGGAGACAAGTTGTGAACAAGATGATAATTTTCCTCCAAGTATATGTGTTCGAGTAAATGGAAAGGTGGCACAATTACCAGTAAGTTACCTGTCTTTGATGTATATGATTTTTAAGGAAGGAATATTGTGATAAGTGATAAGATGTTCTATGTACCTGATTTTGTTGTATAGATTTATCAATAATACAATGTTGACTTTAAAACTCAAAAGATATTGTTTTCTACAGTAACAAATTTGTTCTGATAGTTTTATCACCTTCATCACCTGCATGAGGTGCTAATTCTAAATTTTTACTTGTACATGTTATTTTAATTGTAGATCTTGCAAAATAGAAATGCAAGATTAGTTCTGCTCAGTAAGCCACATAGATTTATTTCAACGTAAAATGTACATCTACATGACAATGTCATATTTTAACACATACAAAACTGTTGACAAATATGTGTGGATGACATACAACAGTTCAGATTATCATTTAATACTGATGGTGAAGAAAAGGTAGCTGAAGATGATCATGCAAATCAAGTTTGAAAAAATGGTGTTGGAAAGAGAATTTTTTCTGCTGTTTGAACACTGATATAATTTTGATTATGTCATTACTCCCTGTCATTACGCCCTTGCAGGTGACAGAATTACAGTGATTTCTGAATAGCTTTATTGCTGGCAACTTTCAATTTATCACCTCATATTGAACTATTTATGGAGAGCACTGTTATGTATAACCTATTTAAAAGTTAATGATTGTTGTATGATTAATATTGTATGTTTTTACAGAATCCCATTCCTACAACAAAGCCAGGAGTGGAACCAAAACGTCCTGGACGTCCTGTAGATATAACCTCATTATGTAGATTATCACCAACCATGCCTAATCATGTAGAAATATCATGGGCCTCAGAATATGGAAGGGTAAATAGCAATTAAGTTTTTGTACAATGTGTATCATTTTTCATGTGGAGAAAATAAAATAAGAATGTAATTCTGTTCTTATTTGATTAAAAAATATGTTGTGTATAAATCACATGAAGAATAAATGTGTTCACAAAGTATTACATTATCTTCTCCCATGTGATGTAGGTATTGATCATTAAGTTTTACTCTGGGCAGCCATATGTCCATAATAAAATTTCTCTGTAAAGTTATCCAATGTGAGATTTGACGTGTTGTAATATGCGGTTCTGCTACTTTTGACTAGGGTTTCTTAATCGGACAAAAATCATAATCGATCACCGAAAATAATCGAACATCCCTTTTCGATCAATCATCGATTATATAATCAAAACATTTACAATAACAAAGTAGATATGTACAATGTACATATCATGTTTTAATATTTATAAGAATTCCATTAATATTCTATATTATTTTGTGTGAACTATCACTTAATCAACTGAAATAAACTAGTTACTCATGCTATGTTCATCCCTGAGTAAAATATTTTCATAAAATAAATTTATTAAAATCTATGAAATTATTATGTCTCAATTCCAATAAAGGAATGAATAAACTATGTATGGGAACAAGAGAAGTTGGTCATTTCTTAACAAAACTGCCAGGTTTTTTAATGACACTCTATATTGATATTGTAACCATCTTTAGTGTGTAGAATAATTTTATACATAACATATCTTCTTTGTTTGAAGTCAAAACATGTTTATTTCATATTTACAAATAGACTGTGTAGCAATTTTCTAATGTCAAATTTGAACATAGTATGTCTTTAAACTAGAATGCCTCACTGTCAGTTATTAACCTCATGGTCACCAGTATGCTTTCCCATTCATTTTAATGAAAATTATTGGGTCAATCAAAGCTGGCTTTAATTTAAAGTGTTGTTATAATACAGTGAGTCACTTAAGTAACAGCAAGAAGATGCATTACCGATAATCGATTATTGAACTTTGTATTCCATCATCGCCGATCGGTCCTATAAACGATCAATTATCGATTATACTCGATCATCGTTTAATCCCTACTTTTGACCTTAGCATTTAATGACTTACTACTAAAATGATATCAAAGATAAAGGTTGTTATGTTGTATTATATTTCAGGGCTATGTTGTATCAATAAATCTAGTGAAGAGACTTACCTCAGATATATTACTGCAGCGGTTAAAACAGTTTGGTAACAGACACGCTGATCATTCTAGAGCTATGAGTAAGTTACTTATATCATAAACATCATGTGTTCTTGACACCTACACTAGAAAGATTCATTAGCTCTGTATACTAAGGCATTACGTTATTTACATGATACACTTATCTCATTATAATAGACATCTATGATCTTACTCAGAGTTAAGCTTTTGCTATGGCAATGACTGATGTTGCCCAGAGTTTCTCATTGTGAATTTTGACCAAGCTTTACAAGGTTGAACACTATGTAAACCTCTGCAAAGTTATATATATATAAGTTATAGTCTGATACATAAGTAGCTCCACAACTATTTCTATAGATCTGACATGCAAAGTATAACCTAGGCCAGACCGTACCTGTTGTGTTTGTGCATTATTGATAGATCATTGATCAGAATTTTAGGCTTAGAGGATGAGTAATTATTTTGTTTTGATTTGTTTTGATACAATAGTTGTATGTTGTTATATTTCAGTAAAAGAGAAACTACAGCATGATGCTGACAGTGAAATAGCCACAACTAGTCTCAGAGTCTCCTTAACATGTCCAGTAAGTTTATTTGTTTTATGTGTTTATTATATATTGAGAAATGTTTCAATTTAGGGTTTTGTCTTTGTAGTTCTATTGTAATACATTCTTAAAAGTCTATCACTAGTTAGTTTTAATAGTCGCATGGGGGCTATGTTGAAATCTTTTGAGTTAAATTACTTTATTACCAGTCCCTTCTATAAACTTCAAAGTAGCTTGTGAAAATGTGAAAGTTTTCCAGTGGTAAAGCACTTCCACTGATTTAACTGCATTTTCTATATCATGTTTCGGCTAAAGTAAGGGGCAGTAAGTTCTGCAGTAGCCAGCTATTTCCCAGGGGTTGAGGAATACAGGACATAATTAATCATTAAGGCAAGAAATTTGCTGTACTGTTGATATGTTTAACAATAATTGGACAAGCTTTCCAGTTGTTAATAAATTTAGCTGAGTAATTTGACGTCATTAGCGATATACAAACATAGTGTAAAGAGCGCTAAATGTTAGCGTTATACTGAAAAATGGCTCTTATTTCACTTTAAACGGTCTTTATTTTGGGTATGTGATAAATAGAATATTAAATTCGTGTAAGTTCCATACTGAATTTATTGCACTCGTTAAATAGAATAATATTTTAATAATATAATTTTATTCAACTCGTGCAATAAATTCAGTATGGAACTTACACTCATTCAATATCCTCTATATATTTTATTTAGCTTGGTAAGATGAGGTTACAGTTGCCGTGTCGAGCAGGTACATGCACACACATTCAGTGTTTTGATGCAACAACATTCCTTATGATGAATGAGAAGAAGGCAACATGGCTATGTCCTGTTTGTGATAAACCTACTCCGTTCCATAAACTTATAATTGATGGGTACGTAGCCATTGTTGCTGTGTTTTATATAATTGCATCTTTACAATATTTTATTTGTAGTTACAGTTCATTGTATTAAGTTTCCTATTGAACTCATGTCATCAGAGTCCATACCTTACTGTGGTTTGGCTGAGTGGTTTACATGTCAGACAAGTAATATAATGAGTTATAGCTGTGTGGTTTCAAACCCTGTCAGGAGCAAATATACTCTGAGATAGTGTTTATTTTGATATGTTAAAATTTCTTTGCATAATTTTAGTTTGAGTTTTTATTTTTAGTATGTACACTAAAAAACATCACCCATCAAGTAAACAAAGCAAGAATCATGAAAACATTGTATAACATTATCAGTCTAGGTATGGACATATTACAGCAGAATTTGTATTTGTCTGTCAATCATTTGAAAAATATGGTTTTATATGATAGATTGTCAGATAAGGTATTACAAATATTATATATATCTCTATTTTGTAACACATTGTAATGATGTTTCAGGTTGTTTGTTGAGATATTAAAACAGACAACAGATGTTGATGAAATCCAGTTTATAGAGGATGGTACATGGGCACCCATTAAAAGCAGTAAACAAACACATACCATTAACAATACCCCATCAAGACAAACAGCTTCTTGTAAGATTTTGTTTATTTTTATATTCTACATGTATTAGATATTTTAATCACTGAGGAGATAGAGGACAGTTTGATAAGAATATGAAGGTTCAGCACACAAATAAGAGGTGTATGATACTTGGTCAAGTAAAGTGGGAAACAAAAACTCTTTATACATAAAAAGCATGTATTGTTTCAAGGATTTTCTTTTTAAAAATTGAGTACAACACATCTAATATAGGTTCTGGGCACAAATTTTGAGGTTTGCTATTAGAAACTTTACAATTATTATACTAAGAATCAAGGAAACTTCTTGTTTGTTGCTCTACCATTGGTACAGAATGATAATGAGCCAAAAGAAATGTGATCTCAATTTTCATTTCTCACGTTCATAACTTGCTTTCTATTCACAGTTGATTCTTCTTGTTGCATGATGTGATTTTTATATTGTATATGACTCTAAATCACTGTACAATGGTTCTGTTTCAAGATAAGTATCTCTCTTTAAAAAAAAAATGCTAACTAAGTTTTGCTACAATTAATTATCTTTACGGCAACAGGGTATGCTAGCATTAAAATAGAAATATGGAGACTAGTAGTGTTTTAATCCTGTAATCTTAAAGTATATAGTGTAGATAACAAGCCATTTACCAGTTTTCAACAACCAGTACAATTTGTATATTTGTGCAATCTTATCAGTTTATTGTGTCGCCTTGAAAAGGTGACATATAGGGGTTACTTTTGTCGGCGGTGTCGGCGGCGGCGGCGTCTGTGTCGGCGTCGTTGTCGTTGTCGGCGTCCGGTAAAGCTTGTCCGGAGCATAACTCAGTCACTATAAGTCTGATTGACTTCAAACTTGGTATGCATGCTTCGTTCAATAACCCGAAGTGCAGTGCACAAGGACTGGTACTCTGCAGTTATTATTTTTTGAGTTATTGCCCTTTGTTAATTTTCATACTTTAATTTTGTCCGGGCCATTTCTCTTCAACTAAAAAAGCTATGGACTTGAAACTTCATAGGATGATAGATCTCATTAAGAAGAAATGCAGTGCACAAGAACCAGTACTCTGCACTTCCTAATTTTTGAGTTATTGCCCTTTGTTAATTTTCATACTTTATTTTTGTCCGGGCCATTTCTCCTAATGTATAAAAGCCATGGACTTGAAACTTCATAGGATGATAGGTCTCATTAAGAAGAAGTGCAGTGCACAAGAACTGGTACTCTGCATTTCTTATTTTTTGAGTTATTGCCCTTTGTTTTTTTTTTCATACTTAATTTTTGTCCAGGCCATTTCTCTGAAAGTATAAAAATTATGGACTTGAAACTTCATAGGATGATAGATTTCATTAAAAAGAAGTGCAGTGCATAAGAACTGATACTCAGCATTTCTTATTTTTGAGTTATTGCCCTTTGTTGCTTTTCTTACTTTATTTTTGTCCTGGTCATTCTTCCTCAAGTATGAAAGCTATGGACTTGAAACATCATAGAATGATAGATTTTATTGATACAGAAACTGCTGCTCTGCACTTATTATTTTTTTAGTTATTGCCCTTTGTTATTTTTTATATTTTATTTTTGTCCTGGCCATTTCCCCTAAACTACATTGTTCACAAGGCGACACATCCGACTCGCGGAGTTCTAGTATACATTAAGCTTTTAAAATTTAACATTTTTATAGAGAAATCTCATAAAGTAGCAGTGAATATTTTGACTATTTTATTATTTGAAATCATCTATACTGTACTTTCATTATAATAAGCAACCTTCTTCACCGGGATATAAGCTTTTATACCTTACCCTATACCATCATATAAATCAAATTGCTTTAATGTTAGTTATGTTTGACTTGTTAGCTCACCAGAACCGAAGGTTCAGGGTGGGCTTTTAGTGTCAAAGGGGGATGCTCCGTCTCTGTCGCCATGCGTCAACAATCGTCTTTTTCTCTGAAACTGCTGGGCAGATTTACTTCAAATTTGGTTTGTAGCATCCTTGTGACGGTCACAATTAAATTGCTCATGTCATTTCAATAGGCCTCTTTTAGGGGTCAACAGAGCTAAAAATAGAAAAAAGCTTTAAACATCTTCTACTACAGAACTAATTGATGGATGATCACCAAACTTTGTCTGTAGCATTTTTAGGTAATCTTTTATCAAGTTTGCTCATATTAATTTGATTGGCTCCTATTAGGGTTCTCTAGGGCTAAAAATATAAAAACCTTTAGACATCTTCTTCTACAGAACTAATGGATGGATGATCACAAAACTTTGTAGCATTCTTGGGTAGTCTTTTATCAAGTTTGCTTATATTAATTTGATTGGCCCCTTGTAGGGGCCACTTAAGCTAAAAATAGAAAAACCTTTGAACATCATCTTCTACTGAAATAATTGATTGTTGATGACCAAATTTTATCTGTAGCATTCTTACTTATCTTAGGTAGTCTTTTATCAAGTTTGCTCATATTAATTTGATTGGCCCCGTTTGTGCTAAAGCTTAAATACCCAGGTCATGGCATTGCTTTAAATTATTGTTTAAAGATAGTCTATGCTCAATTTTACGATTAGAAAATATTGACAATGGATAATTTCCAACTCTGAAAAGCAGTTGTTTGTGGTGAGTGACTCTATTATAATGTAGTGTATGGGTGTAGTTTTGTGTCACTTGTTACATATTGTCAGTAATCACCATCTTCCCATTTTTCCAGCTTCTAAAGAGAAAACAGTGAATTTATGTGGAGGTAATTTATTCTTTCTATGTAAATCTCTGTTATATTCTTGTATACCTGATTATAATTCGTTGTTCCATCTCATTAGGGTGGGGGAGGGGGGTGTGTGTGTATTTCAATTCGAATATTTAACCACATCAGCCAGTCTATGAGGGATTTGGATGCTAATGGCAAACTCGGACCATCTTTTTAGAGCCTGACTGTATACACACAAGACCCAGTATAATGACCTTTTCAGGTATATTATTTAGAAAACTAAATCTGAATTTTTCATGGTATTAAAAGTAGAGCAGGGCAAGCAACATGTATTTAAATCAGCAGTGCGAGCAATAAAGATGATAAAAAGAAAGAAAGAAATGAATGACTGTTTAAGAATATTTATTGCCCTCGAACTTGAGATTTGTGATATAAAAATAAATATATAACTTACAAGGCTTTATTTAGGCTAAAGAGTGTTTAGATTTATAAAGAACTTTAGTTTCATCTATACTGATTCGTTAATTTATTTACTTCTAAAGGATATATCAAAAAATAAACTTTCATTGTTATCCTTCATTGTGATGCTGTTGTGAAAATCCACCACCCGTTGGTAGCATTTTCACAACTAAATGTTGGAATTTATTTTGGTGTATGATTAAACCAATATCAACTGAATTAGTAATGAAAGTTTAAAAATCAGGTATACAAGAATATACATAGGATAGCCCATTTCTGTAGAAATGTATTTCTTTTCTGCAATTATGCACCCTTTCATGACTGTTTGCACATGCGTAATCATGCCATCATCTTCACCTTTTATGTATTCTCAGTCATCTTATCGGATCACAGTCTAGATGTTGTCATCTATTTACATTTGACAGATTTGTTTTTGCATCATGATATATTCAAAATTGTTATATCTCTGTATTTATATGGCAGCACATGGTGAAAAATGATTCTGCTTGAGAAAACATGACAATAAAGTTAGAAATGTTCATGAATTTTTTGGTAATAGCTATATTAGCTATATAAGTAAAACTTGATAGAATTGATTTTGAAGGCAGGTTTGTAAATGGAAGGATTACAATTTGAGCATCATTGTATTTCATAGGTTTATAACATTAAGGTGAATATGGTTTATATCTGTATAGTATTCTATGCTAAATGTGGTTCATTTAACAGTAAAATAATGAGATTGAGTAGCTTTTGATACTGTAGCCAGTTCTGATTGGAATTTTAATATATGTTTTTATACAATGATAATTTGAATTTCAATATGTCTGTTGATTTATATGTTATATATGCAATTTTACTTGATATTTTTAGATTCGGAGGATTCCCCTACAGCATCACCAGCTAAGAAGCCTAAAATGGAGGTGATAGATCTAACATTGAGTGACTCTGAAGATGAAGGGGAACCAGTACGACCACAGTCGAGTCATGAGATTAGCTCAGGGTGTGTTTCTCCGCCTGTTATTAGTATTGATTCACCTGCTGCACCCTTATCAATATCGTCTGTATCTTCGTTCGATAATGTATCATCGCAGTCTCAGTCATCTTATTCTCCCCATTTGTCATCATCACCATCATCATCGTCGTCGTCATCATCAAATAGTACAATAGGTTATAATTATCCAGGACCGTCAGGATCGAGATCTCCACCTCTACAGTCACCTACCTCTTCACCAAGATCGCACCTTTCTCCGCGGTCACCCTATAAATCTCCTCTAAGATCACCCGTGTCTCCAATAGCTAGTCCACACCCTATGTCGCCCTTGGCAACACCAACAAGTCCGTATTTACCGCCTTTCCCTACCATGCCCCCTTCATTATCTATTCCAAATGTTTATATGTCCACTCAGATGGCTGCACCAATGTCAGGATTACCTCTTGGTGAAGACAGGGAAATTGAAGAATTTCTACAGGGTTTGTACAATGAATACAGATGATAATGCTCAGGAGATTATAATTGAGCCGCGTCACAACAAAACCAACATTGTGCATGTGATCAGGATCCATGCTGTTCGCTTACCAACTCTATTACAAGTAGAGAAACTGATAGCGAACAGTATGGATCCTGATCAGACTGCGCGGATGCGCAGGCTGGTCTGGATCCATTCTGGTCGCAAACCCACTATGTTGGTTTTGTCGTGACACGGCTAAATTATAGTCTATTATTTGATGGGTGAAAACAGATGTGATAAAAAAGGGTATGGGATCACTTACACGTAATATTTATGTAGCATAAAGGCTTAAAACAACCTACCCTTGATATGAATTCCTTCTTCCCACCAGTATTTTTACTAATAAAATCTGTTGGAAAGTAGTGGTTACTCAGTGTCTAGTATGGGAACTTAGAACCTATGTAATAATGCCCTTCCTTGTATATCATTTGACTTTGCAATAATGTCACTTTAATGATGATGAGAATTTTATATGACCATTGACAATTTGGGGAAAATGTTTAGCCTACAGTATCATGCATATATCTTTTCTTCACTTGATAAATTAATTTGAATTATTAGCAGACAGACTTAGGGATTTATTTGCCTTTTATTGCTTATTTGCAGTCCATTTAGCAGCCTCAATTATTTAAATATAAAGTGTACAAAAAGGGAACATCTTATAGTTCATTTTTTCAGTTCAGATGTTATTTAATTTTGTAATATTTGCTTCCTTTATTTAATCAATTTAAAAATGTTTCCTTCATTGTAAACATTGCAATATTTAAATGAGAATTGAAATTCCCCATCATTTCATGTGCCAAACATTTTGTTAATCAATTGTTGGTTATTAGTCTAAAGAAAGTGTGGAATAATTTCTACATTTAATTACTAAGATAAATTATTACATAAACTGTGCACAGGAGTATAATAAAGCCAATTAATAAAGAAACACAACGATATAACACTAGTGTAATAACACTTTAATGTGACATTGTTTGTGTTATTTACAAACAGTTTTAAAGCAAAAAAAAGTGTTAGCATTAAATTAAAGGCATGTCAATGAATAATCATTAATGGCTTTTTAACTGTAAAGCATTTTTGTTTTATTTAAGTTAGGTGATAAATAGATTATTATATTTGTGTAGATTTAGTACTAAATGTATTGGAATTGTTTAACAAATTCAATATTAAATCTACACTCATTTAATATCCTCTATTGTGATTACTTGATCTTTTAATGTAACTAAAAATTCTTAAATTGTACATAATATGTGCATTCTTATTGTTGTTGTCACGAAATTGAGAGAACCTGTTATCACAGTGTCTTTTACACCTGTTAGCATTCCTTACAGCTCTAATTTTATTCTACTTGGCATCCTACTTTGAATTTGGAACAATCCTTTTTAAATTTTAGTGGTTTAAAGCCTTTAACCTGCTGAAGGCAAAAGTGTTTAGTCTTTGCCACCAGCATAGAGCCAGGCCAGCCTGCACATCCGTGCAATCTGACCAGGCTCTATACTGTTGACTGGCCAATTTCAAATTCTCACCTTGATATACCTATAATTGATAATGAACTATTCCAAAATGGAAATTGGAAAAGTCCATATAAGAAATTTAGCAGGTAAAGTGTGTAGCAGTATACAGCCTGGTCAGACTGTATCAGTGTACAGGATGATCGGGCTCTATACTGGTATTAGCCAGTCATTGATGCTGCTGCTGGCATTTTAACGGTAAAATTGAAATTCCTTTCAGTGGGCTTCAGACCCCTATAAATCAATAAGAAAGTGCTGACTATTTTATAAAAAATAACAATAAACTGTGATAATGTACTTTAATATGTTAAATAATGAAGTGTTAGATTATCTGATCATTGAGATTTTACTAATAGTCTGTCATAACTTACTCTATATGTTCATTGATTTATGACCATGCATAATTAATTACATCTTATATGTAATTGACTAGTCCTCTCAAATGAATAGTATTACAATTTTGTAAGTTAAAACTTTTTGTTAGCGATTTTGTTAATAGTTATTATTTTACTTTTTATATGCCTTCATATTAACTGATAGATTTGGGGACAGATTGTTTTCCTCCTGTCTTTCTGTTTGTCTATTAACTTCAACCTCTTGGTCATAACATCATCATTCTAATACATAAATATATTTCCTATATCAACTCAACATACCTCTTACTGATAAGTTTATTTTAACTCTTAACCTTTCACCTTCAAGGTGAAGTTTTCAAAATTGAAGAAATTCCACCATAACTTTGTTGTTATATAAATAGGTTATAGCCGGGAGCATTTGTATTTTAAGAACACGCCATGTAATATATTAATTTTTAAGTGCGTGAAATAGTTTTAGTTTTTTGGGGGGTTTTGTTTTAAGAAATATAACATTTATTTCAGACCCATTATTGCCAAAATTGCTGCTCTTCACCTTGTGTAAATATTTGTTGATATACTGTTTCTTTGTAAAGTCTGACCGGTGCATTAGTCTTCATGAAGAAAAACATTTCCAAACATAAAAAAAAGATTTTAGTTTTATAGACTTTAGTTAAGGCTTCATTCTTAGAATGTTTGTCAAAATAGTTTAAGTGTTTCTTTTTATTTATGTCATTGAAATTTCTTTATTCCAAAGTCATATAAAAAAACAACAAAAACTTGTACAACATTGAAAGCTGGAGACATTTAAATTTAGCTTGTCTGGTGAATGGAATTTACTCCCCAGGATTTAGCACCAAGTTCAGAGGTCATTTACATTGCAATGGTTATCTGTGCATGTACTTGCTACTAACTTTAAACAATTTATGATGGGTATTTTCACACATTGATATCAACATAATCTGATGTATTGTAAGCTGTCCATTATAATATCTTATAGCATTTACTTCTAAAAATGCTCTAGCTTTGTCAAGTTTGTTTTCATAGAGTGCTTATGATTTATGTAGTTCTATAATTATGTAAGGGTCAAGGTTATATCAGATTTGGACAAAATGGTTATAGCTCGGGGGGAAACAAAGCAGATATAGACACTTTTTGCATGAAGGCTTTGATAACCCGTTCAATTCAGACAATGCAAAGAAACAGTTGTAAAATTTTAGAGTTGATTTAACATTATGTTAACAAGTTTTGTAGAATGCTGTTTTAGGAGAGAAGTATTTGTGTATAAGTTACTGTTGGATAAACTTGTAAAGGTGCTTCAAGTGTGCTCTTGTATAAACATTGGTGTCCTATTTTATTTTGATATATCACTAGTGAGTACATGTATGTTAAAAATACATGTTACTTCACATTGTTTTGGTTTTTGAAGATGAATTAATGTAATTGGCAAAAAATGTAATAGTTTCAAGTGAAAAATTTTTTTGTGTATGTGTTGTTGTTTTTCTCTCTCAATAATTATTGATTAAGTGAAAAAAAAAGTTTTATGTTAGTCTGAAATAAAGGTATGATTGTTATATTTTTTATGACTTAATGAAATGGAAATTATTTTGGCATGATAATTCTGTTAATTGATTTTAAATGCTAGATCATAAGTAAATGTTCATGGTTCTTAACAATTTCTTCTGTGATTTCAAGAATGATAATGTTCCGGAAGAGTCAGATTGAATCATTTAATTAATTGTTTATTCTATTTTTGGGGGGTAATACCAGCTTATGGCGCTTGCTTTTATTAGTTTCTTACCTTATATTACTGTAAGTAAACAATTTAATCGCATACCGGTGCCAGTTATGAAAATTTTATAATGCACGGCCATGAATATGTTTTCATTGAACAAACATAGTGTAACAACACACTAAATGTTGGTGTTACACAGTCAGTGTGTTGATGAAAAATAATTGATTCTTTTTTTATTATAAAGAATTCTTATTTAATGTATGTGATACGTAAAATATTATGTTTGTGTAACTTCATTACTAAATTTATTGAAGTTGTTGAGTAAAACAATATTATGCTTCCCAGTGGCTCATATAAAAGAATTTATTCAACTTAATTTATGAATAAAGTATTGAACATACACTTATTCAATATCTACTAATAATTTTTATACAGTTGACAACATTGGTTTTACTGTTGAATAATCTTATTTAAGTTTTAGGTTTTATTTTTGAAAAAGGGTGAAGCTTATTAAGTTATTGTGCTTTCAAACTTTGTATAGCCTATCATTGTTTTAAGTACATAAATTAAATCAAATGATATTTTCATTTATTATCTTTTATGGACATTATGATAATTAATAGCAAAATGTTTGCCTGAATTTTCCTTCTAAAACTTGACTGTAATAGTTTTAAAAATCTGATATTGTTGAAAGAAATTCACTTATATTGGTATGATATATTTATACAGAGACTTTAATCTATATTATGTTTTCATTTCATCATTTGTTTGTTTTGAATTCTTCACCTTTCATTAATTATACCCCCGCACAACAAAGTTGTAAGGGGGGTATACTGGAATCAGCTTGGCTGTCCGGCCGTCCGTCGGTTTTTTCTTGTCCGCCCAATAACTTAAGATTCCTTTGACCCTTAGTCTTCATATTTGGCATGCAGGTTAGTCATGATTAGTAGATGACCCCTATTGATTTTGAGGTCACCAGGTCAAAGGTCACAGGGGCCTTGACTTCAAAAAGCTTGTCCGCCCAATAACTTAAGATTCCTTTGACCTACAGTCGTCATATTTGGCATGGAGGTTAGTCATGATTAGTAGATGACCCCTATTGATTTTGAGGTCACCAGGTCAAAGGTCAAGGTCACAGGGGCCTTGACTTCAAAAAGCTTGTCCGTCCAATAACTTAAGATTCCTTTGACCCACAGTCTTCATATTTGGCATGGAGGTAAGTCGTGATTAGTAGATGACCCCTATTGATTTTGAGGTCAAAGGTCAAGGTCACAGGGGCCTTGACTTCAAAAAGCTTGTCCGCCCAATAACTTAAGATTCCTTTGACCCATAGTCTTCATATTTGGCATTGAGGTTAGTCATGATTAGTAGATGACCCCTATTGATTTTTAGGTCACCAGGTCAAAGGTCAAGGTCACAGGGGCCTTGACTTCAAAAAGCTTGTCCGCCCTATAACTTAAGATTCCTTTGACCCATAGTCTTCATATTTGGCATTGAGGTTAGTCATGATAAGTAGATGACCCCTATTGACTGAGGTCACCAGGTCAAAGGTCAAGGTCACAGGGGCCTTGACTTCAAAAAGCTTGTCAGACCAATAACTTAAGATTCTTTTGACCCACAGTCTTCACATTTGGCATGGAGGCTAGTCATGATAAGTAGATGACCCCTATTGACTTTGAGGTCACCGGGTCAAAGGTCAAGGTCACAGGGGCCTTGACTTCAAAAAGCTTGTCCGCCCAATAACTTAAGATTCCTTTGACCCACAGTCTTCATATTTGGCATGGAGCTTAGTCATGATTAGTAGATGACCCCTTTTGATTTTGAGGTCACTGGATCAAAGGTCAAGGTCATAGGGACTTTGACTTCAAAAAGTTTGTCCACCCATTTACTTAAGATTCCTTTGACCCACAGTCTTCATATTTGGCATGGATGTTGATCATGACTATAAGGTGACCCCTATTGATTTTGAGGTCACTGGGTCAAAGGTCAAGGTCACAGGGACCTTGACAAATAAAAGCTTTTCTTCTCAATTGCTAAAGAATTTCCTGTCCGCAATGTATTGATTTTTCACATTTTCACATTTGAAGCATGTAGAATACATAACTTAGCAATGCACTGGCTTAGTAACCTCAGATTTGGCAGGGAGGTTGTCCTTGAGCTCTAAATGGCCACTGTTGATTCTGACAAAGTGGTATGCGGGGGTATTCACGCCATGATAAGGCAGTTCTAGTTTTTTTTAAAAATTGTTTGCATACTCTGAAAAAAGGAAAATTCATTTTCAAATTAACAATTCATTTGACAGAACTTCAATATTTTGGCAAAACTAGAATTTTACCCTTCATAATCTTTTATTCATTTATTTCCCACTTGCAGAAAATTGCATTCCTATACTTGTATAAACTTCATTACTTTACAGTTTTAGAGGTTGTAATAATTTTAGCCATGTTTATTATACAATACATTTGTGTATGATGTTTAAAAGTATAGAGCAAATTGCTTATACATGTCTGTACATATGATAATGTGCTAAACAAATATTATATGAAAAACACACGAATGTTTTAACTTTTTAAGACATATAATTTTATGTTATGTTGATATATACAGTCTGTTAAAATCTCGCCAGACTGGTTCAATGATTAAATGTTAAAATTACACTATGACTTTATTATTTTTAAGAGAGTCATTTTGTGATTGGCAAGAGATATATATCAAAAGAGCCGTGTCACGACAATACCAACATAATGGGTTTGCGACCAGCATGGATCAAGACCAGCCTGCACATCCGTGCAGTTTGATCAGGATCCATGCTGTTTGCTTACCAACCCTATAGAAACTGATAGCGAACAGCGTGGATCCTGATCAGACTGCGCGGATGCGCCGGCTGGTCTGGATCCATGCTGGTCGCAAACCCATTATGTTGGTTTTGTCATGACGCGGCTGTTATGGTTTTTGTAACCTAATTAATTCTGAAACTACTATACAAGAGCACTGTTGAAGCACTTATTACAAGTTTGTTATTTATTCTGTTACTATTTTATTTTTTTCCTTTGTTGAATTACACATTTTTTTCTTCTTTTGATGTTTTCTATTTGTAAATTGATATATGTCTTGCCAAACAAATGATTTTCTTTTCCAACCCAATTCTTTCCCCAAGACTTGTGTGTGAAAGGTTTACATGCCATATTGAAAACTTTTGCCAGGAAACATAACTTACATTAACTCACCTGTGCTAAAGGACTTGTTAACAAGGAAGTTTCAATTATAGTTTTAATCTAGAAAACAACTGATCATCCTCTACTAAAGTAACAATGGAGGAATAATGATGGGGCTTTGTGTGAATTGTTCAATGATTGTTCATAATATTTCCCCCGAGTTGAAATTTCCAGGATTTACTGGAGAAATCATAAATTGGATATCATTATGATTAATGCTTTAGGGCAATAACTGAACATTCGGTTAACATAACAAAGACCACCATACAAGAAATACCTAAGCTAAATTATATTCATTGATTGTTCAATGGAAAAAAAAACATTGGGACCAAAGCTCGTATTTATGGTCCATTAGAAGATTAAGAATAGAAAAGGGTTAAAGCATATCTCAAAATTTGAATAGACTGATCACAACTCTTGACACTGCATTTGACTGGTCTCCTCATAGCTTGAACAAATAAAAGTTTGGTTCCATTTATGTCCCTTAAAAAAAGGATTTAAAAAAAATATATATTTAGTGAAATAACCTGTATTTACCATCCAATTATGAATGATGTTAACAGCTCCCAAGTCTTGACTTATTACAGTTAGTGTGGGAGAAAAAAAGCTTA